GTATATACACAGTGACTGGGTTCTGTATCTATCTGCAGTTGAGAGAGAAAGTTCAACTACCAACAAGGAAACCCACACAGCACTGGTGTCTGTTAACGAGCTGAGCTTCAGCTGAATCAAACCAACATCAGGAAACTCGCAAGCACTTGCGATCTAGTAAATGTTCTGAAGTTGAAACTAAATAGATCCCTTGACCCCTTCCAAACATCAAATGCAACGAGGAACATCAAGAAACATCAAGAAACCAAGTACTTGCAATCTCTCAGCATCTTGCAACTTACACTCAAACTCATCTTAGCTTCCACAAAGATCTCTCCATTCGTCCAATTCTTCGAAGAGACCCAGTCCAAGACGTCCTTCTTCAGGGCAATGTCTGCAGTATGGCCAATGGTGACCTGGGCCGTCTGCCGCGGGGAGTTCGGAACGAATCCTTGACGCTCGGTTCGTCGTATCTCCTCAGGTTCGGTATGACTGGATCCTCCTGGCAGCCACCTCAGTCCCACCTTCGAAAGCAAGGTACGACTGGAACCCTAGGGTGAGTCTTGGGTTTGGCTGCTCCAGCTGAGAAAAAACAAAAACGCAACCGGGGGATTGACCAAAGGAACTGGGAACATGAAGAGGAACCCGAGCAAAAGCAAGAGGTTCTGAAGATTTATGACGATCGTCTCCCAGATTTGTGTTTGTTTTGGTACAGCTATGGAGCTGTGCTGACTGTTCTGGCCAGAATAGTGAACGATTGGCTGATTGTGCAGGTCCAACCCAAAGAGTGCTCGCTTTTCACCTGCGGCATCTAAGGTGGCCACAAGGGCAACACCTGCATCTTCCTAAGCATGAACAACATGATTGCTGTTTCTAGAACAACAGTATGTGTTAAATATTACATATTTTGGAAAGGACACCATTTTAGTTTGTTTCGGAACACATCTGCAAGCGGCGTATGAAAACGACACACCACACAGCGCCCCGCTGTAAGCACAGCGCAACACGGTACTCCCTCACGGCACAACATCTTGGCAACAGTTTTGAAAGTTTGTGTTGAAGACAGGCTTGTGGTTTGAAACTTCTCCCACAAAATCACGAGAAAAAAAATATGTAGTTTCACCAATTCCAGCACTTTTGCTAAAATATACAGTAACCCAAACACTCCACGGGACTGCCATATATATATATATGCCTACATTGACCCCTCAAACCACCCGAACTGATCGGCAAAAATGACATACATGAATTTTATGGGTAAGTGCACCCAGGTATACCTGGCTTGCTTCAAATAAATTGGTGGCCCCAGGTAGTTCAGAACTTGTCTTGGCAAGCCTTGTGGCCTTGTGCTCCTGATGGACAAAATCCAATCGATTGTTCAGAGTCTTTCTGTAGGTCCCTTTTCGCTTCTTTGTTGGATGATGACGCTTCACCGAAAACTTCAATAGGGTCAAACCGCCATACAAACTGCTACAATGAACAGTAAAATGCGATAAACGCATGGTGTTTTGAGGGTTCCAGGCTTTTTTCAGATTCCTTGTTTCTCGTGACAGGCGGTTGCTCCATCTGACAGGAGCTGCCCAAACTAGTTTCCATTGCTGATTCCAACCCACAAATGACTGCTTGATTCCGCGTTGTGGTGAAATCGATCGAACCAAAAACGAACTTCCCGGATGTGGGGGGGGAGGCCAACCTAAAACGGAGTCACCAAAGGAAACCTCCACACCTTACGCACCTTAACGGAGATCCCCCAACATCTTCATGGGTCCCGTCGCCCTTCCCGCCCTACGTCACGGCCGCGAGAGCCGCAGACGCCGAGGAGCATAGACGTGCTTTCGCTCGATGTTGGTGGTGGCTTTCGCTTGCAAGTTCCGAAGGGCTTGGTACTCCTGCGTTCCGAACAGCCCAGTCATGGATCCAGCCCAGGGCAGGAAGGAGCTTCAGTGAAGAGGTAGAGAGGAAAGGGGGAGTGTGGCTGAAGAAAACACATGATGTCAAACCATGGGGAAATACCTATACGATTAGCTGCCAATAGGTGACTGGGGTGTGTCCTATATAACATAACTAAATCTGAATAAATGCTTCATACTGAATGACTGAATGCCTCCTACCCGGTTCCCTGGACGTGCTTCATTTGCCTGCAGAGCTATGATTTCCGTGAGATTCCGAAAAAAAACGCCAGTAAAACCAGCTGACCCATTGGATGATCCTGGACCAATACAATGCTGGAAGCAAATACAAATGGTTTCTGTGCCCTTCTGTTCAGCGCTTTCCTGGGACGTCTGTCTTTATCTTTTATGTCTACCACGTGTGGCCTAGCTGCTATAGCTCCGAACTGGCGTGCTACACCTACCTCCCGCTCAGAACTGGCTCGCCACCGACCTCAGACCTGCACCCCCATCCACCCCCCCATCGCCACTCCTTCTTGCCGCCAGACTTCAAAGCCATTTTAAAGACCGGCCTCGGTCGGTCTCTTCGTCGCACAACCGCCGTTCTGCAGGAGTGACTCCAAGAGGTGGTCGCCCCGCCCAAAAACACAAGTCATACATACACCCTATGGATCCACATATTTTCTGAGAAGGTAATTGGCGATATGATTCTGATGAATTCTGTAGGCGCCAGGAGGCTCCAATGACCTTCGTTTCGAAGGTGGCAGTGGATCCATAGGGACACTTGTCTACCCAACTTTGGGGTGGTTAGTAGACACCCTTTCCATCGTGGTGGCACCTCTACCCCGGTGCCAGAGGTGGTTAATAGACACTATATAGTCACTATATGATTAGACAGTCTATTGCTCTAAGGGGCCCAAACATTTAACACCCCTTATACAATTAGGGGGGGCCCTGTACATGCACGTCTTAAGTGTGATTTTTTTCCCGATGAACAGATCCATGACTTTCCATCCTCGGCCGGTGATGGTTGGCCGTCAGTAAAACGGAGCTCAGTGGGGACCATGCCTGTGGCAATACGCCTGGCTCAGTAGGAGGTCTCAGGGCCAGCATGTTCTTTCGCCGCCTGGCCTGCTTTGACCCTGAAAGCCATGTGGCACTCATTCCCTAAAAATAAAAATACCTTCTCGGCTTCGGTATGACTGGAGCTGAGGCTGAATGGCACCTACATAACTCAGCTCTCAGATCCCTAGGGAATGAGTACAGTATGGGCGATGGAGTGGACGTGCCACCGCCATCCCGACAAATCGGGTGGTTTCTGGGCACCAAAAACCAGGAAACACCCAGGAAAGCGGAGGATACAGGTACCTGGAGTCTCAGTTACCGCAGGAAATGGATACAAGTACAGTAGATTTTTTCATGGGGTCATGTTCCATTTTCTAAGGTACTTTGGAGGATCCGATCTTCGTTTTCATTGTTTGGCCGAAGAGCTCTTTGATGTCGTCTGGCAGCAGGGACGCGTCGCCTGCAGGAGCTTCGCCAAAAATCGCTTTGGATCGGGTATAGGGCTCTGTATGGCTCTAGACTCCAAAATCAACCTTACGTGCAAAAAAGCAAGTCATCCACAACTCATGTTGATCTAAAGAGTCTAAAGACCTATGATTTGCACACTCACATGTCATTAGCCTAACAAAGCATAATTTGCTGTTAACATATAGTTATATATATATATGTCCTTTACTATTTAATTCTAGAACACTTTGTCAACCCTTCCAACGTTCCTTCAAAAAGAACACGTTCTCCGTCTTCAAACCACCCCGCCCCGCCGCCAGGCAGCCCAGGCAGCCCAGGCTCGCCTGCCATGAAGGCATCGAACCGTCTCTTCGCTTCAGCCATGGCCTCTGGGTCCTCAAGGCGGATTCGGCGTTAGACGACGCCAGGCACGTGGAAATGCCAGATGATGTTGGACCATGTTCCCTGGATCATCTCGGATAAGCACCCTAAGGAACTTCAAAAAAATAAAACATCTTCAACATGGAAAAGGAGACAAGACATGACAAAACTAACAAGTTAAAATGATTGAAATGGGGGGGGTGCTTTTGATTGGATCAGTTTGGGAACTTATCACCATAATATATCATAATCATAATACCATAATGTTTTGTGTAGCCTGAGCTTCAACACCAATAGTCCGCTACTTGGTCACAATGCTTTCAAAGTCAAACCATTACCCAATGAGCTTAGGGGTTCTCCGGTACGTCGTTCCAAATTCACATGTTCAACCTGTCACAGTATATATATATATAATTTGATCTTGAGGTGTTTGGACAGGGCACAAGCATAAAGAAACCTTCTGACAAATCCATGCTGCTGAAAGCAGGTCCACCCGACCCCTCTTAACAATTTTTACCTGGAAGCTGGAATTATAGAAAAACATAGACTCTGGATGTGTTCATGACTTGCAGAACTAGGGCAACTCGAACTCGCTGCAGTAAAGGATGGTCCGAGCAACATGCTTAAAACAAGCAATGGCAATAACGTATGGAGACCAATATTGACCTGGAACTTAGATCTAGTATCAGACCGTGCTACCTCACGCCTCACGTGAATTGCCAAACAGTTGGTATCAACCATCCTCCAAATTGATTTGTGGAGGGTTTCTCTCAGATTTGTCTCTGCCTGTGGTCCTTTGTCTCAAGGACGTTTACAAACATGAAAGAACGGTTTGATCTAAGAACAATCAAACAAAGAAACACAGAAACAAACAAGAAACAAATAAGTAAACCAAAACCAACCAACCAACCAACCAACCAAACAAACAAACCACCTTAAGAAACAAACAAACACAACGCGACTGAACGCTGAACTCGAAAGAATCTCTGCGGTAGTCGTTCGTCCCCTTGCGTCTTCTGGCTATCACCCAAAAGGTGTTGAACTGGCAAAGCTTTGTACTAAACACTTGGGATTTAAGCCAAGAGTCTGGATGGGGGCCATACATTCCATCAAACTACTATAACGACTTCCCAGGGAAGTCGAAACCCCAATTGGTTGGATCCGATCGGTTCCGCACATGAAACAAGCCACAGCTTCAGAGAGCTCACTGGAGCAGCCAAGAAACCACGGAGTACTTGGACTGCATGTTAATCAAAGTTTCCTCGCCAGAAGGAGTGTCCGCAAGCAAGCCCCCTGTCTTTTGTTCAAATGTCCGTCCGTTAAACTAGAACCATTCCTGGTGCCACTGACCCAAACACTCCATTGCCGAATGCCGAATATTGGGAAGTGGTTGTTGATTGCTTAAGGGATCTTTCTGGGGCGGCATCTATTCTATCCAGTCCCACGATGTCATGTCTGGTTCATGTCTGGTTGAAGAACCCCATCTTTGGCTCCGCCTGGCACATGCCCCTTCGCGAGTGGAGCATGGGCCGAGCAGGACCATACACTCCTTTTCCAACACATCACATGGAAGTGGAGAATGGGCCCTTGGAAGACTACTGTCCTTTACCAACGGGTGGTCTTCCACTTCCATGTGATGTGTTTTTTCAGGAGTGTAGACTGCCAGTCATCAATGGTGAATTGGAGTTGCTTCGGACATCGATCTTTGAAGAACCAAACGGTAGGCGAAGTGGAGTGAAAACCAGCTGTTTGGTATTCGGAACATATCCAGCCATGCCATCCACTTGCTTCCATGATTACTTTAAAAGAGTGCATATACTAACGTGCGACACCTAGGAGCTATGCCACAAACCTCCTAGTGCCCTGAAGACCGTCAATGTGTGCCTGGGTGCCCCAAAAAAATTCCACTCAGTGGATGATGAGAGCGGAGAGCGAACTATCAGAACAACAAACACGTGGATAACTACCAGGGCCCCTATAGGGGATGCCTAATTATAGTCCACAGCTTCAGGCTTGTGCAATAACCACCCCTTAGGCCAACCGATCCCATGGAAGCTTCGGTCGGAAGTTGGACGGAGGTGGATCCTTTCCAGGTCGGTGCTTGGGGATCAATTGCGACAGGAAACGGTTCGAATAGAAGAGTCCTCCTGCAGACATACATATGGAGCACCAGAAACAAATGTTGGAACATGAAACATGGAGGACAAGATGTTTGGGATCCACAGTCTTTTTCGCCGCTATAGCCCTGGACTGTGCACAAAGAGATTCAGGGTCAATGTTCTTGATAAAACCATATAAGATGTGATGAAACATGTGTTCTCTAGAAGCTTTAGCATCGCATATCGCTTCATCAAGTCCCATGAACAGCTGTCTTCCCCCCGGCCCTCATGGATCTCATCCCTCCATCCTCACCTCTCACCTCTCCTCACCTCTCCTCACCTCCTTCGCCAGGCGTCTCGCAAAAGGCCGTCCAAGTGCCCATCTGAGGCCTTCTTTTCCCAGCCCACCTGGAGGCGCTCAGCTCCGTCACGGCGCTCTCGGCGCGCCGATCCACCGCTCCGGAGGCCGACGGTCGTCCGCTCCGTGCTGCGTATAGGACGACGTTGGAGGACGACGGTGTGCCCGCTCGGCTTGGCACATCCAAGACCAAAACAAAAGTCGTTGAACATGGCAATGTCCAATTTAGGGAGGTCTTAACAAGTACCCAAAGAATTCAAGAGCTACTCAATCGGAAGAACGCCTCGGACCTCTGTTTTTGCTACTTGATGTCTGAAAACACGATCTGCAACTGCGGTGGTAGCAGGGTCTGAAGACACACGAAGTTCCCCAGAACGAAAGAGAGCGTGCGAGATCTCTCTTTTCCGCGGCCGATGCTGGAGCTCTTGAGTACCCGCCCTCTGCAGGTGAAAGGATTCGGAAAACATGGGTTGACAGCTGATTCTCAAGTACATGGAGTGTACTTTACACTCTGGAAAAGGGGAAAACACTCAGCTGTCATCAGGCGGAACGAGTCCTGCATTTTGCATTTCTGTTGGCCATGGGCCTGGCCAACCGTGCATCCATTGAAACACGTAGTACTGATTGGCAGTACGTTCTTCGTAGTGGACGATGCCATGGTGCGTGAAAAACATATGCAGGTCTTCGCTCAGGGTACGTCGGCTTTGAGCATGGCGAACATCTGGTGGTACAGCTTGAGAAGCACATGTAGTGCAGTAACTCACTGGACGGACGTTTAGTGCTTGGCGTTGGAGCACTGGGCAGTCCGGGTTGTGGTGCCAGACACGACCTCGTGAGGCCATGAACACTTCATCTCTCATTGGACAGGTCCGCGCGTGTTCCACCATTTCTCGCCAGCATCTCTGGAGAAGACCCTTGGCGTCCAGCAATGTCTCACGATAGTGAGACTCAGCTGCTATGCGGCGATCTGCTTCTTCCTGGGGCGTGAGTGGAGGTCCGCTTTGGCGTCGTTGTTGCCTTAGCTCTTGTAGTTCCGAGCGAGCCTGGTCCAGTTCTTGAAGAACGAGCTCATTGGCTATGCGTTGTTCACGCGCAGCTTTCTGATTCTCAATGGCACGTTGCCGGTAGAGAATCATGGAATCCAGGGCTTCATCTCGGAGTTTCACTGCCTCTCGGAGTGAGTCCGTCAGGTTCTTCACGATGGGCGTGTTTCGCCTCCGCGTGAGCCAGTGGCCCAAAAAGCAGCTTGCTGCAGCAACAAAAACCATGACCAACCACCAGAGCCACCCAAGGTGTGGTGGCTTCTCGTCGCCATCGGCAGCGCATGCCGGCGGGAGTGCCGACATCAGCAGCAGCGCAAAAAGCGCACGTCCATGGCTAGGAGGCATGCTACCTACAGCGGGTCCGGCTGCTTCAATCTCTTTGAGATTGGCAGACTGGGGAACCTCGAGTAGTGGTGGCTCCTGCTTCAGGGACGTGTGCTCGTCCATTGTGGCTTGTAGTGGAGCTTGGTGTTGTGTTTGTGGGTTGTAGGTGGTTGTGTCATGTTGTACTGTGGTTGTGAACTCGTTTCGACTGCTCCATCGGCTTTCGAGCGGCTTCTTCTTTGCCGCGGTGTATGTTGGATCCCAAGTGTACTTGATGGATCCATGTCTGAGTCTGTCGGCCAGGAGCTGCCTTGCTGACAGCTTTGTCAGTCCGTCGCCGTACTGGCGTTCAGAACTGACCCATTTGAGTCTTCCGCCAAAACTCTCAACTTGTTGGCGGGTCACTTTCACTTCCAGGGCTGTGCGTTTGTCGTTGGAGCCATGGTTGAAGGCATCTCTATGGTAAGTGTCGTACAAGGCTTTGGCATCTGTAATCAGCACTGGTTGTAGTGAGCTCTCTGACCGGGCCAGGTTGGATTTCAACTCAAGTTGAGGGTTGAACAGCTCATTCCAAAAGCGAACAATGAACTCGACATTGTCTGCAGCAGCACTTGAGGCTTGGGCCTCAGCAGCCAGTGAACTTCTGGCGACACTTGGAAGCTTCATGGACTTCCAGTCCAGAACATGGTAGGGTGTCTCTACACCTTCGAAGGCTTCCTTGTGAGTCAGGAGGCAGATGAAACCGCCTTGGCTGCTGCCGTCATGTCTGACTCCGTGGGCTGCGTCGAACATGCAGCTGAGTCGGAGGTCTTGGATTGCGCCAAGAGGTGGATAGCGCAGGGTCACATCGCTGTTGTCCTTGGCAAATCTTGGGAGCTTGTTAGCTTCAAAAAGTGGTGCTGCCAGACCTGTGCTCAGTTCGCCTGAAAGAATTGAGGTGCTGGCCAAAAGGTGTGGGCTCGACTGAACTGCCGGCCATTGGAGGCTGCCCAAAAGACCTCTGAGCAAACTCTGCTCTTTTGGGGTCATTGGTGAGTGAGTTTGGCGGCCTTTCTCAATGGTCAAGGGCTTGACCTTTCCAAAGAACTTCTGGTGGCTCACAGTCCATGCGCCGTCAGTCGACCGAGACATGTCCGCACCACAGTATTCAAAAGACTCATCTTGCTGCCAGGTGCGGAAATTGAACATCTTCTTGATTTCGGTCTCCATGCGGCAGTAGACAGCTGAGTTTTTGTCACCGCCACCCAACATGTCATCTACATGTAAACAAAGAAGTCCCACCAACTTTGGTGTGGAGGCATCACCATCTTGCGGCTCAAACAATCTCCAAAAACAGGGGTCAAGGGAGTGTTGTTCCCAACCAAGCTGCTTAAGGCGTGAGCTGGCTTCCAAAAACCATCGACGAGGTGCGTCCAGTTGCCCGTACACTGGTTTGTGGAGGAACATTCTTGTGTTGGAGTCTGCGCCCAACAATGCCAGTGCATCGGATGGCAACTTCACCCATAGCTTCCGTTCTTGTGGAAGGCCTTGCAAAAAGGCAGTTGAAACATCGGCAGACCATCCGGTCCATCCAAGGCAGCTGCTCAAACTCAAAAACAGATTTCTGCCGAGGCGAGTGGATGCAGGTGAGGAGGTTTCGAGCGAGCCTGCTAATGCATCAACGTCAGCGTATCCCCTCACCACCAGGCGAGCTTTCGCTCGGGGACTGCCGTCGGCATTCTTGCTCCATTTGAGCAGCATTCTGCTTGTGAGTGTCCTTTCGGGTGTGGCTTCCTTGGTGGTCTGAAAGCTCCACACTCCGTTTTCAAAAAAAAGAAGACAACTCTTTTTGCTTGGCCTGTTGGAAGAGCAGGCGATGTTCCAGGGACAGTTCACGCTCCCGGATTTCACCCTTGTTTTTCTGCATCTTCTTGTTTGCCATAGCCTTTTGCTTTCGGCCCAACTGCTTGGCTGACTGGGTGTCATGGGTAGTCATGCCCATCTCCTTACGAGTGTCTCCGTTGATCTGGAAGATTGTGACACCAGTCCATGCTTTTCTGGTTGGGGTACCAGCTCCATTTTGCCAAACATCAGATTCCTGTTTGAGCTCTTGGCCTGTCTTCCGCACGGTGATGCGGATGGAGTCCAGCTTTTGCAGTGAGACTGGAAAGTGTTGGAGCTCTCTTTTGTTGAGCTGTTGAAGGCCGAACTTGGTTCGTCGAGGCACGACGTGGTGGCGTATCAAACAACCTGCCTTCACCTCCCAGTAGTCTTGGGGACTGCGGTCCATGGTGATGAAGCCATCTTCCATGTGCCATCCGGGCGGTGGGAACGAAGGGTCAAGTGCATCGACCTCAAAACTGTGTCCAATGATATCGTCAGTGCCCGAAGTGAATGGCTTATCATAGGGACCGGCTCGGTGGTTGGAGGTGCTGGTTGTTTCTGGTTGTGATGTCTGAGGGATGCCACGATAGCGTCGATTGCCGAAGGAGATGGTCTCTTGTTGGTCATATCGCCGTCTCATCAGCTCAAAACGCTCACCAGGTTGAGCTGGCTGGTACAGAGCCTCTGTGTCTGGGTCCAGCTGGGATGCTGGATGGTTCTGGCTGGCCCTTGAGTGAGGCGGACTGGGTTCTCTGGACGGTTCGTTCAGAGAAGGTGTGTCCGGATGGTTCTCTGGAACTGCTGGTGGTGCCTCAAGTGGTAATGCAAGTGGCGCCGGACTTGTGGTTGGTGGAGCCTGTTGTTCTGGTTCAACCCCTTGCTGACTGTGTGCAGGGGATGTAGGGGCGTACTCCAAATCCGGTTCGGACTGTATTGGTTCATCATCTGGTGCAGGCTGAGTGGCGTCATTGAGCGCAGGTGCTACAGCTTGTGGTGAACCAATTGGTGCTTCAAGTCGGCGTCTTTGCACAGGAGGCTGCAAGTCTTCCTCTTCTTCTTCCATTTCTTGTTCCATCTCCTCCTCTTCCGACTCTAAGTCTTCGATGCGACGTCGATTGGCCACATTGAGATCCAAAAGTCTGGTGACTCCTCTGCTCTTCAGCTCTGACATAGCCTTCTTTGCTTCTTGGATGCCGTTGATCAGGGTGTCAGTCTCCTTCTCCAAGGCTGGTCGCAGGTGATGAGGTGCACAACGGAGCAACTGGGTCTTGTGGCTGATCCAGTAGAGAGAAGGTTTGCCATCGTCACCATCTTCTCGCATCAGGACTCTTGCGGGGCCTTTCCATCTGACCTTGACCAGGTCAGCCGCTCTGGCATCTCGCCAGTAGTAGCAAAGTTGACCAGGCTGGAAAACAGTGCTGGTGCCGAAGTACTTTCGGAGGAGGCCTCGCCGAAGACGGCGATCGACGTCTGTCTGCACAATGGCCATGCGAGCAGTTGCTCGCTTTTGCAGCTCATCTTCAAAGCCCTTGGAGCCTTCTAGGTGAAGTGGTGACAAATGAGGATTGAGAAGGTCTCCAGGAAAGTGGGGCTGTTGACCCAAAAGCCATTGAGAAGGGCTGTAGCCAGAAGCGTTTGGCTGAGCATTCAACTGAGGAACCACATAGATTAGGGCTTCTCGGATTGCAGAACCTCCTTCTTGAGCAGTTTCTCGCAAGTACAGTTCACAGCTTTTGCGAAGAACAGCGTGGCGTCTTTCGACCAATGCCAATCGTTCATGTGCTTCACCAGGTGCAACGGTGTGTTGGAGAGCAAGTTCATCAGTGAAGCGAGTGAACTCATCTGAAAGCCAACCTCTTCCTTCGTCAGTGATGAGTTGAGCAGGAGGACCAAAAAGAGCAAGCCAACAACGCTGAAGAGCATCGATCAAACAATCACCCCTCTCAGCTTGCAACAAGGTGGCGGCTTGCCATTTGGTGGCTGCATCAATCATGGAGAGGATTGGAAACTTGTTTTGTCCACTCTTGATCCAAAACACATCGCACTGTAGCTGGTCGTTGAAGGTCGTGACCACCTTGGCCGAGCTCGGAGATGCTTGCGCAGGCTTCTTGAACATGTCACAGGTGGCACAATGGTATTGACGTGCCACTTCAAGAACCTCAGGAGAAGCGCCTCTGACTTCCAAAAGGTCGGTGAGCTTCTCAGCACTTGGGTGGCCAAGGTTTCTGTGCAATTTCTGGACCACACGAACAGCTTCTTGTTTGTTGGTCGTCAAAAGTTGGATGAGTCGTCCTTGATGTGAGCGAACTGGCTGACTGTCCTCAAGGGTGTAGGCCTGATTCCAAGCCTGTGGTGTCTCTTCGGCAGCCAGGGCTACAGCAAGGACTGATGCCATGGCCGGCTGGTAGTCCTCAAGGTACTTGGTGCGAAGGCGTCCACCAGGCATGCGTCCTTCCAAGGTGCAATGAGTGTGGCTCTTGTCACATAACAAGTTCATCGATTGTGCCATAGCTCTCTTTGTGGTGCGAAGGGCTGTAGGTTTGAGAACAAGCTTCCAACTGTTGTCAATGTCCTTGCAACAGGCACCGTAGGCACATTGATGAAAAACCACATGATAGCCTGGCAAGTTCTGAAGTGCTCTGGTGTACCAGGACAAGGCTTCTTTGGGTTGTTCCAAATGTGCATGGCGAGCACCAAGGACCTGTCGGCGGTAAATCTGCCTAACAAAACGAAGATGCACATCATGATGCCATTGGCGTTCTTCTTGCAACTTTTCTTTTCGCTCGGGCGAGTTGGCGGCCAGAGCTTGCATCTTGCTCCACAGACTGCATTTGGGAGCCAGGAAAATCTCATCAGGGAGTTCGTCCTGCTGTTTGCGAAGAAAGGCTGCTCTGTGTGAGGGTTCATCGAAGTCCCAACCAGTCTCATATCCAAAAACTTCAACTTTGCAGCCCAACGTTTCTGCAATTGCTGACACTCTGGAGGCGCCAGCATAGACTTCCCAAATCAACCGTGGTCGGGGTGGAGCATGAAGTTCTGAAGTAACCATGGCCTGAAGTTGGCGCTCTGTGTGGTTGAGCGCATGGTCAATGCGCTTCCAGTCTTTCAGCACGATCTTCCGGCTCCCCTCTGCCACTGGCGTCTGACCGGCGTCCTGAGAGACCCCCTCCTGACTCTTGTAAGTCTTGAAATCCACGGTGAAGGGCTCAACATCCTCGTGGAGGGCGGAATCTGCCAGGACAAGGTCGAACGCCGGTGGCCGAGTGAGCATGTCAGGTTGGAAGTCGGCTGTGAGAGGCAACAAGTATTCCCCATGTCGACCAATGGTGATGTCCTGCCAGGGGGAGTCTTCCCACATCAACAGCTTCTTTTGAAAGTTGAGCGTCAAACCAAGAGCTTCAAGGATGGGGCGACCCATCAACATAGGTGTCTCACCTGAGATGACAAATCCAGTGACGTAGCCATAGTTGTGGTTGAAAAACACCGGCAACCTAGCTTTCCAGTGACAACTCACGCTGTGGTCTCCACCAAAATGAAAAACACGCTTGATGGAAGTCATCTGGATGTCATCAACTGGATACTGCAGCTCTTGAAGGTGTTGGATGTAGCGCTCAAACGGTCCGGTGCCCATCAGAAAGGCGCTTGCACCAGGGTCAATCATGGTGCAATCAACACGCTGTCGACCTTGGAGATCCTCAAAAATCACATGACCATGTTCATCTATGGGGGTGGTGTTTGCGGCCATGCCTTCCGTGTGCTGTCGCTTGGCTGGTGAGTTGACAGCAGAAGGACTGGAACTCGTCGAGGTGCCCTTCTTTGGACAGTTGGCGGCCATGTGGCCGGATGCGCCGCAGCGCAAACACTGGATGGCTGCGAATGAACGAGCCTTGGGATCTGGAGCCTTCCCTCCCGGTCGAGAGGGATACTTGATGGTGCTGGAGCGGCCCTTTTTGCCGCCTTTCCCCTTTCGAGGACCCTTGCCCTTGTGGAGGCGCTGTGGAGAACTGGGAGACGAGGATGGGTTGGTGTCATCTTGCAAGGCAACTATGGGCAAGTAGCCTTGACTCAACCTCAAATCTGAAAACCTCTTTCTGGCATCCAGGTAGCTGGCGTAGGCTGAGTCATATTCATCGATGTCCCAGGGGCCATCAGAGGTGGCGACAAAACCTTCTTCTTCATCCTCATGCTCATTGTCGTACTGGTAGTAACCGGCCTCTTGATCGAAGCCGAAGTCGTCATCCTGCCAGGATTCAATGGCCAGAGCCTCATAGTCATCTTCCCAGCCGTGGTCTTCTTGGTAGAAGGCTTCATCGAGATCATCCCAGCCTTCTTCAGCCACAAAGGCTTTGTGCCCCTTGCCTCGTCCAAATGGACGACGTTCAGGAACCACGGCTGCTTTGTGATCCTGGCCAAGAAACAAGTACAAGGCTTCTTGGACCTTGTTCCTCTCGAGGCCGGGTGCATGAGTGAGCACAAGTTGTCGCTGCTCCCTGGTCACATTGGCCTTTTTGAGAAGAAACCAGCCCTGCACAGTTGTCGGCAACTTCACGCCGTGAGCTTGAAGGCGTCGAAGTTTCTCATCAAACTCTGTGCAAAACTGCAACAGTGTGGAGCCAGGTTTGCGCAGGTTGTGGGTGAAGAAGTTCTCAAAATCCTGCGGCATTTGAACTCTGTCGTCATAGGCAAATGCCTTATCCAACATGCCCATCAACTCATCGAATGCTCCCTCCTTTTCGATCTTCTTGAGATCGTAGTCTTCAACGACTTTCCATGCAGCACCCTGCAAGCTTCCGATGAGATTGAGCAGGCTCTCACCGGATCTTTTCTGGAGGGTCATCTTGTGGTGGTATATGGCTATTCTCTTCCTCCATTCTCTGTAGGACTGGGGCTGGCCGTCAAACTGCGGGATAAAGCTATCCCTCAGGCTGGTGGTGTCTAAGGTCGAGGTGCCAGCCATGGGTGCTGGAGCAGTCGTGTCTGTGGAGTGGTGTTCAGTGAGGTGTTGTTGCTGGTGGTGTGTATGTTCAGTTGTTGTTGTGCAAGTGGAGTGCGCAGCGGTAGCGTGTCTGGAGCCCCGGTTGGGGCTCCGCTACCATGCAACTGCGGTGGTAGCAGGGTCTGAAGACACACGAAGTTCCCCAGAACGAAAGAGAGCGTGCGAGATCTCTCTTTTCCGCGGCCGATGCTGGAGCTCTTGAGTACCCGCCCTCTGCAGGTGAAAGGATTCGGAAAACATGGGTTGACAGCTGATTCTCAAGTACATGGAGTGTACTTTACACGATCAAAAGAGTCCAAAGATCAAAAGAGTCCAAAAAACAGCCAACAACCCTAAACCCTAAACCTTATCTACTTGCCATCCCAATGAGTCTCCACCCGTAGGAGTTCCATCCATCCCCACCCGCACCTCCTTCGCGGCATCGGCAATGAGCTTGGAGACGAAGGCCTTGAAAGCCGCATAGGTCGGGTCCTGAGCGCCAAGTCTCATGCCAAAACCATGCCATCCTGTGACACGAGACTTGGTTTTCAGAGCATGATTTGGAGTGTAGAACTCGATGAGTGGGACGAGAGACAACGAAGTCAATAAAGATCGAATGTTCTCTGCATCTATAACCCTCTGAAGTCTGGTTTCGCCATGTGCCAGCAGGGCGTCGCACGTTGTTTGTTCCACTCACTTGCTGAGTCCTAACACAAGTCCCCAGGCCCATGTATCTTCACCCTTGCATGATGGAACCCACGACTGAACAAACTGGTTTGTATATTGTGGATATTTATATGTAAATAGTGAGCCTTCCCAACCAAAGGTATACATATAATCTTCCAGGGGGTGATTTGGGGGAATTTCCTTTCAATCCACACTCTTTTCACTGCCCCTTGAAGACTACTGTAAATGGAGCCTCCAGACTGCGCATACATCTTGCCAGGGCCTGTCCATGCTTGCTTTCTAAGGGGTGGTGTGCAACAAAAATAGTTGAGGTTTGCTTGTGTTTGTTTTTTTCATTTTCAGTGTCAACGTGACTACTCTTGATGCGTTAGTACACCTGCACTGGGGGTCCGAGAGGCACTGACGCCAGCCATGAGAACAGTGTCGAAGCCGGTCCTGAGAAGACACTGATCCCCAGTGAATAAACAGTGACCACGGCAACCCGCCAGGCTCCAGTCCAAGACTTGGCCAGTGTTTGTTCATTCAGAAGCAGTTTTCTGCGGAATTGGATCCAGTAAAATGAGGTCTTGACCTGTCAGGGTAGAGGTTTCTAGACTCTAGACTTGGCTCCATCACTTTTCCCAACAGCTGGATCCACAGGTTCCGCGAAGACACATACAACCCATGTCGTACACTGCGGGCAAAGCCGCAAACGGCAGGCTGATGCTCTCACCCCGTCTTCCCGGTCGATGTGGCCGACAAAAATACCTTCTCATTCATAGATAGGAAAGGCAGTCTGGACATGTATTGTACATCTATAGGATTGTAGAGGCGCTGTTCCAACAAATATTAGAAGGAATCTACACATAAATCTGTATATTCAAGCGTAGATATTATACTGATATAGATATCAAATATTGAAACTTAAAGTAATGTATGCATGCATTATCATGCATTTGTCTGTGAGCTTGGACATATTTTGGTCATGTCTTTGTCAGATGAAAGGATTAACTAGCACGGTACAAAGCGTTCAATTGTATTCAATTGTGTTTACGAGTTTCTGGTATCTATCAAGAAGCACATCAGCACTTGGGGAAGCGCTATGCAACCGACTCACAAGCGTAAAAATATGTAAAACTATATTAAAACAACAAAAATGGATGCTGGCCAAGCGTGGCCAAGGGGCTTGACTCGACAATATCATTCACTGTTGTGAGAAAATGGTTTTGGTTGTGTAAATTTGCCTTTACTTCTCGTTGGCTTTGAAGTCTTGCTGTATGAACCACATATTTTTGTTGTACATTCCTAAATATATATATATATATATACACATAGAAGCCTTGCCCTTGCATTTGGTAAGTCCCGGTTCAAGCTCTTGATGCTTCTATATATGAATATGTAGGCTCCACACCTGCCAGTAAGATCTTCTTCACAAACCACCGGTGCCGTCCCCCCTCTCTTCACTCTCTTCCCCTCTCTTCCCTCTCCACCAGAATCGGGACACCCATCTGTCTGAAAAACTCGGCCTTTTGAGGGTTTTGATGTCCGGGTCTTCCGTCCTGTTCCAACCGGACCCAGAGCCGAGGATAACCGAGGAGAGCCTAGGTCACCAAAAGAGTGACCCCCAAACAGCAAAACTCAGCCAGCTCCCACCAAGCAGCAAAGCTTGCGATATGGCATCCCACACGATGAAGTTACGCTCGCTGCGGAAGGAAGCAATCAGCTTGAAGACCTGGCAGGCCACAGCACCAGGGATCCCCAGGGACAGGTTTCAACCTGGCGGCCACCTGTTCCAAACTGAGTGCTCCCCCAAAAATCCGCCCAGGCCGGTGCCGAACGGAGCAGTCTGAGTCCTGAGCACCTGTCCGTCCATCTTGGGGGGGCACCCACTGGGGCACCCCTGGTCTCCGCGGAACTGGCGCCTTGTCAGCCCCAAGATGACCAGACTTCGCCAGGGCGAAGGAATCCAAGACCTGGACACGACCCGCGCCCCGCGACGGGTCAGGTTCGGTTCGGAAGTGCTTCCGTCCAACCCACTAGACGAGGAGTTCGCTTCAGCCCACACCACCGAGATCCCCCACAAAAGGTATTATGGAACTGCAGACAGGACGCCCCCGATTTCGGAAGGTCCGGAGACCAGCGGCGTGTGAAAACACACGTGCGGAGTCGGCCGAGAGTTCGAAGAAATATTAAGTAATCGAAGTTGGAAATAGTTTGGATGGCTTTTGAGGAACTGGTCACATTGCAGAGGGCCTAATGTGGATGGTGACATCGTCGTCCAAGCCAAGAACCTCACTAAATGTTGAGGTTAGCATGTGAAAGTCACATGGGTATGTAGGTATGTATGCGCCGAAAGAGAGGCTCTATTGTGCATCCTCCCAGTCAAACTGGGAGGTGCCTCTATTATATGTCAGTACATATTATTAATTTGATTTATATGGATCTATTATACGTTAAAGTGGTTGTGCATTGCATTGCATGTATCTTTTGGAGCCAATCCTCCACATGGACCTTTGGGTGAACCTGTCAATCTGTGTGATCCATCTGTCTCCTGAGGAGCAGCTAAGCAGCTAACACCGATTTGACGTGTGGTTCCAGATCAGCTATGAAGGTGTGTCTCCAAACAAGCAGAACCCAGAGTCCCACAATTTTGAGAACTGCATGGCATCGGATGTGCTGTCAGAGCAGCCGGGGGAAAAAAAGACAAAACATGTTTCCCCAGAAGGGGATTCAACATGATTTCACCCATGGAGACATACACACACTCCCTCCTAAAGGACATCTTGGTCGATGGTTTATATGGATTTATATGGTAATTATTGAAATAGGGAGACCTCCCAGGCAACGAGCCCCCCTGGAAGAAGGGACATAATAAACCAAAACCCGTTGGGGCCAGGGAGGGTTCCCTATTAAAATACACACCCATATGGACCCCCCATCTAAAAGACATCTTGGGGTGCCAGTGCCATCTACTGCCACAGCAACTGGCGAATCCAACAGCCATGGCTTTACCAATGTTCACCCTCCGACAACTACACTCCCTGAAACAAGTCATGGAAGTGGAACAGTTCGGCCCCTGTAAGACAATTTTCCTCAAGGGACTCCTGGTCAGCTTCCATGATTGTTGGAGGCAGGGTCATGAAAATCACCCCAAGCAAAGCTAAGATGGTAACATCTCTATTTGTTCCATCATGTTCGGTCAAGACATGTCAAGGTAAATCTTCACCCACCCATCCTGGGGCTCCAGCCAGGCCGGCTTTGTCACTCACGCTCAGCTGGCCCTTCTGAATGGCCGTGGCCAGTTGGCTGTAGGTCTCATCGCTGTACCTCGTCGCACAGAGCTGCTACCGAACGCTCTGGTCCTATAGAGATCGAAAAGGAACTGCTTTGAATGGTCGGTGCTTGAGATCGAAAACGCCAAAGCCAAAGGTTTTAGACGATATGTTGATCATCCCAAGGGGCAGTTGGGAGTCTCCATATTGTTTCATACACATCCATCATCTCTTGAAGAATCGCACCCAGAAACCCTACGAGGTTCCTCGCTGTACCAGGGCCTCTGTTAAAAGCCCGAAGGTGCGTGAGAATGGTGATTGAGTTATTGCAGTACATTGCCTTATTAAGACCTTGTGACCATTGGTAGGAATTGATTATTGGTAGGAATTGGTAGATCACTGAATGGATGTTTTTGCAGTACAATGTCATTTGTCATGTCTTATTATTAAATCTGTTGATGTCATGTTGAGATCTAATAAAACTTCAAGCTCCGATTCTCATGTTTTCGCCCATCGGCTCGGACTTCACCGTAAACCACGCACGACCGGTCCGGTCCGGTTGGACCCGGTGGTTCCCATCGGTGAAGCGAGTGGAGCAATGGAATTGCTCCAGTGGATCAATCAGACTGTCTGTCAGACCGACATCAGTCTGATTAGTGACCCATAAGACCAAATCTCAAAGTGAACCTCTCTTACAACAGTCTGAAATCTGAAACACCCTCTGGTCGTCTTTTGGTGCAGTTCTATCATGCTTGAGGATCCCCAAACAGACCCCAAAAAGGATCCACTGACTCTCAGTCAACTGCAACACATCCGATGTCAATCTCGAAGCCCGGTCACAAGACTCTCATCGGGACTTGTCTCCCTGCCACGGCGGGGCCAGCTATACGGAGCTTTCGCACGCACGTGGTTTGGTATAGATTAGATTGAAAGATCACGACAGGCTTTTTTCCCGGATGGGTTCCGGCTCCAACGACCTACCCTTCCGAAGCTAACGACCATCTGAGGATGTGCAACAGGAGCCCCTTTTCCCTATGGATGCACATACCTTCTCAGAAGGTATTTGGGCTCTCCAATCCTACATAAATAGTCTCCAATCACCTTCTCAGAAGGCATGTGGATCCACAGGGTTTGGGGATGATCTTCAGAGTCCAGTGGCTCCTTTCATCTCTTTTCATATTTCTCTCTTCTCCAATTTCTTGTATCTTTGGTACTCCACGTAGCTGCCCACTGCAAAGCCAAGTTCCTCGACTCAAGCTGACGACTGGTGAGTCAATGGATGACGAATGGTCGATTCAGGTTCGCCAAAAGCACGTTGATTTTATGGGGAGACAACATGATTCTTCTTCAAGTCCGTGTGCTCTTAGAAAGCCTCCGTTCGGACACGACGGACAGCCGTCCCACCTGCATTGATCAAGAGGAAATCTGATTTGGGCACAGAGATCTTCTGTGTCTTCGCCTGTGTCGCATCGCCACTGTGCAGAACCCGGGCTCCAGCAAAGCGAGTAGGCTACGATCGATCGGTCAAAAGAGCTGCTCGATCGGAATTCTAGATTGGGTGGGTTTGGTTCGACCCATCCAGGGGCTGTGGATTCATGTTCTGGGGCACTACCATCTCCTCCAGATCATTCTGCGGACTCGGTCTCGACTCTTTCGGTCGAGTCTGCGGACTACAGTACTTCATGGACGAGCCATGCGAAGTCATTCCGGGGTCGGTCTTCTGAGCGCTCAACTCCGGAGTTAGGCGAGCAACTGAGTACAGGTGGATTTGTCCAACTGTTGCCCAGGAGTTGATAGCAGTGTCTCATAATGTAAGCATGCAAAGTGGACGCATCCCAGGAGCAGATGTCTAGTATCTTTATTACTCAACAAATCAGGAGAAAACTCGGACAAACAATGAGGCACAATCGCAAAGCTTATCTGGGGGACCAAGTCATCAACTGATGTCAAACAATACCGCAACACCAACAACAAAATTAATGCCTATAAATCTATATCATCTTGTTGCAATGTTTGTCTTACCGTACCAGTACAAGAAACAACGTAAACAAACAAACTGTTCAGTGAGCACGGTCAGGTAGATTAGTCTGTGTGTTGACTTACAATACAGTATGGCACTGTATTTTTCTATTCTAGTGTGCTAACTTAATATCAGATCATTATCATCGTCGTCGTCGTCATCATCATAATCAGCAGCATCGCATCATCATTGCATCATCATTGCATCATCATTGCATCATCATTGCATCGTCATTGCATCGTCATTGCATCATCATTGCATCATCATTGCATCATCATCATCATCATCATCATCATCATCATCATCTGTGGTACTGATGCGGCACTTTGCGGATGCCAAATGAACATCCTGTCGGATTCGGCCGAACCACTTCCGTTTTTCGCAGCTGGCCTCCATGAGGACAGGCTTTTGACCTTTGCCTCGGCATCTGATTCCGATTTCACCACTTGCAAGCAAACTATCTGAGAAAGTAAAGGCTGTCTCAAAGGTTGACCCTGAAAGCTTCAGAAGATAGCATTGTTGAAGGGAACCTGTTCATTTTCATCCATGGGCGGAAAACTTCTACCTCACGTGAGAAAAAAAGTAAACACCGGTCGTCCACCCGTCGCCTTTCTTCGCGCAAACCGCCGACTGGCCGGTCGACTGGCCGTCGTTGGATGCGGTCGACTGGACCGGTCGCTTTCAGATGGCCCAAGGATGTGGCAAAGAAATCTCCCGATGACTGAAGATCGGTTGTCCTTTTTCCGTTTGCCTTTAGTGTTTGGAAGGCTCCTGCTTCAAAGACGTACTATGCACAATCGGTGGACCACTAGTTTCTCCTGTATTCTGTACACAATCTAGGCTTGAGTAAGTTCGAGAAAAAAAAAACAAAGTGTGTCGCAATGTAAGCAACTGACTTGTGAATCATGCACAGCAATCAAATCTGCAAATTATATAACTCATTATAACTCAAAATAATTGCAGTCATAAATTCACAAACATTCCCAGCCCATCACGCTGCATTTCGACATCTTTCACTATGCAAGTGACAAATGATTGGAATCTTCCAAATCTTCTCCTCCTCCTTCTTCACCTGACAAATGCAAATGAACTTATGAGAAACACAGAAACGCGGACCTCAAACAACAAAGCATGCCCTTCATGAGTTTCCTGAGTTTGATAAACCATTTGCGTGTGTATGTTATATATTTATATATATAATAGAGAGATCCCCTAACTAGTGGGATTTGGTCTATGTCCCTTCTTCCAGCGGGTCGTTGCCTGGGAGGTCTTCCTATGTTCAATAATACAAAGCCCTTTTAGTTGAGCCTAGACTCCACGGAGTGGAAGGCTTCCGCCTGCCTTGCCCGCCTACCTTGGGCTTTGGGGAAGATCTCTGACAAACCCTGACCCCCCCCAAGAACTTCGCATGAGAAGTTTCATAGCTCCCAATCAAAAACACCACTGGTGCTCATGGAACATGAGTGAAAGCCTCTTAAAAGAAAGATCTGCACATGGCCATGGTCCAACATCCATGGTCAGCAAAAGGTACACGAACCCTGGAATCCTTCGAAGTGTTCATGAACACCACCTCCTTTTTCGTGACCGGGGTCGAAGCGGATTTCAGGGTCCTGAATCGGGGCCATCCACTCCCCTTTGTTGAGGGAGTGTCTCCTGTTTGTGAGACTCCTAGGCCCTCGGTCACACCAAAGACTCTCGCGACCTCTCCCCCGTTTCACGGACCCCGTTTCGGGGTCACACCGAAGCTTCGAGGACTCCGAGGGGTCACCGCCTCACTCCCATCTGCCAGGAACCAGCTCCTGTCACTGCGGACGCGAAAGGAGGAACGAACAGGAAAGCCAAAGGCTCAACATATTGATGGTATGATTGTCAAATAGAGATCCCCAAATAGATAGAAACGGTGTCCAATACATTTTGAGAGGGGATCTAATTTGCTATCATTGGGGTTCCAAATATACGCGCTATACATCCCTATACTGTTTCTACCCGGTATATGACCCCCAAAAAAATGTACCAAAACAAGAGATGGCAGGCCAAAACCGGTCGCAAAACCGGCCATCCTGGTTCAACCAAAGGTCTCCTGGTTTTTGACCAAACCGGCCACCTCCGCAACCTAATCTCGACTGCGTGGGGAATATTTTTCCACGCAATGGGAGACAGCGTCACAGCCGGAGCCAAGCTGGAGCCCCATCCCATCTCATTCCTCTCCACAAATCCCGCTGCACAATGTCGCCTTGCTGCATCCCTGCAGCGTCTCCCGCGTCTCCGCACCAGTGCTGCGAAGGAACTGTTCGAGCTCCACTTCGCTACCATTGAAGCTCTTCACGGTCACCAGTGGATAACCTCTGGATCACCAAGTCGGACACACCATTCAACACCGGCACTGGGCACCAGAACTGGAGCCAAATCGGACCCCTTTTTTCACCGATGTAGGTTCCAAAACGTCCAAAACGTCCCGAACCTGAGGTTCGGTGATCAACACCACCTTCATCCCTTGCAGACCAAGACGGGTCCAAGAGATGAGGATTCATCTGCCCCTGTGTCCTACGAGGAAACCATGGATTCTCCGCCGGATTCTCCGGTTTCCACCGGAATGGGATGATGTCTGCAGCGGTCGAAATGACCGCTCTTCTCCCTCTTGAGGGAAAAGGCGATACTGATGGAACCATCATGAACCATCCAAAAAGAATGGGGTGGTAAATATGACTCACTGACCAACTCACTGAAAGCCCAGGGCCCTTAGTTGAAGTCTGTTTGGAGTAAACCGAGCCCTTGAAACCATCTAAAACTCAGCTGTCATGTAGGTCTTCCTATTTGACTTGCCACACCTACTGGAATGTTTGAGCACGCTTTTCAGACCAATCAACAGTTCCTAGGCCCCCACTTAGTGCAGAATTGGATCCCTAGCTCAAGTTCTCGTTCGCCATGGGCAATGTGAAACGCTTGCTGCAATCTTGAGATGTAGCAGGACCCTCCAAGGGGTGCCCAATGGAAGCCTATAGGTAGTGTGGGTTGTCCATTGGACACCCCTTGGAGGGTCCTGGTACTAACCGGAATTCGGAAAATTGACATGAAGACAATGCAAATCCTATTCCCCGACCGAGGCGGGGACTGGAGTTTCAGACCACCTCTTTGGTCGTATTCATGGTCATCCGTGCAGGGGCCATGCAGTTCATGTCATAGATGGCCACACAGCATCTTCCCATCTCACACCCTGTTTACATCCCTGTAACACCCCACGGACTCCACCAAGAAACCCATCTGCTCCGTCCATGACGCCATTAACTCATTCACTTTGCACCCACTGGCGGTGCTCCAAGCCTTGCGGTGCTTGCTTGACTCAACGTTCATCGACCCGACGCAGTTCCTCCGATTCAGCAGGGTCCACCGTGATGTTGTGCATTGTATTCAGTGTTTTAACTCTCATGTGATGCCGAACGACGGTCGACATGCATGTGATGCCGAAAGTATAGCACCCGTTTTTCTGCCGAAAAACAAAAAAAACACGTCGTTTTGGAGTCCGGGGCCTGGTGTGAAGCGGTGTTCATTCACCATTCACCAGATGTTTGACTTCGACATGCCCTATGGATCCACTGCCACCTTCGAAACGGTTCGGTATGACTGGGCTCTCCAATCCTATACTGCCCTAGTCTCCGTCCTCACCGTACCGAACTAGGTTCGGTGGCAGTGGATTCAGAGGGATGGGAGGTTTGGGTCCGTAACTCACACTGGAACCTATGATGGGGTCTGAAAGAGGTCCACACTCTGGAAGAGGTCCACCATGGAACCTGACAACCACGTCGGTTTGTAGAGGAGTACGTAGTCTTCCAGTCTGGTCCATGTTCAGGTTCCATGTGTGGGTCAAAACCAGACCCTGGTTGACCCCGGGTCCAATGAACCGCAGACTGTCAACCTTCCATTGTTTGGTGTAAAGCTGCTGCTATACACGCAGAAACTGCGAGTTTGGGTGGATGAGTCTAGAGCCCCCCCCAAGTGTTGCCAGGCGCATCCCAGGCGCAGCCCACAAGTCAGAGGTCTCCGTGTTGGAATACCTCGGTGCACAACTCGGTCGTCAAAGATTACACTCCCAGCGTTTAACATGGAACCAGGGCCAGGGGAGGCAATGGGGAACATGGAAGTGCGTCATGGTTGGCCACACTGGGGAAAACTATCCAAGCAATTTGTGAGTTCCATGTTTAATACCTCCAGAGTAGACAGCAGCATGAAAAAACGCATGAGAAAATCAGGCTTGGATGGAAAAAGAAGGCCTGGCCCACATGTCAACATGTTTGATTTTGTTTCATTCAATGTTCACACTGTTCATCACTGTTCTTTTGTTGATTGATGTTGATGGTATGGAGCACGATCTTAGAAGTTTTCAGAAGCGCTCCACAGCGTCCACAGCGGCATCACCTGCATCGCGGAACACAACGGTCCGATGCCTGTGATGCCGGTGCTTTGTTGTAGCTGCTGAGATCGTTCTCCTTTTCCTGTTGAGTTTGTTGTGCTCGACTTCAACGACAGCGCGGTAGCAATCCATCTAACCCAGACGCTCCATGTATGCCATATATGCCTACATTGACCCCCCAAACCACCACAATGTAGGCATATATTCCATACATGGAGCAATCCATCTAAGGCACTTGTGTTTTTGCATGTAGGCCTGCAAGCCGCTCCTGGCGTGACGGTGATGGTGTGACGTGGAGAAAGGCAGAACAACAGGTCCGGTAGGTCACCACAGATCAAAAGATCAACTATACTTGAACCATCCACAGAATGTTGCTAATTTCACTATAGTTTGCATGTTGTAATCATTCCTGTAGTTACTCTACCATCAACTATACTATACTGATCAATAGAAGGGACAAAATGATTGCTCTTTCCACAGAATTCGTTCATCGGTGGAAACAGCCTGTCTGCACGCAAGACGAGTGGAAGTCTCACGACAGTCTTTCATGTCCGAACTTTGGATGCTTTCCAACAAAACCCATGCCTACCTAGCGCTTCCAATGGGTGTCCTGTCTGGTGACCTTTTTTCGCAGTGTAGGGTTGTCCATTGGTAACCCCGAACGGAAGCAGCTGGTAAGTCTAAGTTTGTGCATGGAAGCTTTGTGTTCGTCTTCGCTCGCGGCAAAAAAAACGCCGCTCGCTCTTGTGCCGCTCCACGTACGTTGTGGTTCGGTTGTCGGGCGGGTGGGGTGGGTGGGGAGGTGGGGGTAATGACGTGTTTGTAGCGATGTAAATAATAGGATGCAGCTATACATACATACCTCACTGTATTTTCCTTGGTGTGACGTATGTTGTTGTTGCTTTTCCAGTTACATGTGTTTCTATGCAACATGAAAATCTAATCTACTGTAAATACAGATTTAGAATTCAGGTAATGACCTTCAAGTTGAAGGAATAACACCTTTCCACATGTTGCCTTTTCCCTAAGTTATTATCATGAAATAACTTTCGCCTGAACTTTTGGATGACTATATACAGGTCCTTTGTCATCAGACCTTCAAGAACACCTTTCCGAACTATGTTTAACACACAAAAAAGATAGCGTTTCGCTGCTGCGAAACGCTCGACACAAGCATCTTCCCTGGGACAACGTGGGAAACTTGATGCACCGGCAAACACACTTCGCAAACACATCTATTGTCAATAACAACAACCAAAAACATAGACAAGAAAACAACCAACAAACACACGCGCATACTCAACTCTTACTCCTACTCCTACTACTACTACTATTACTACTACTACTACTATTACTACTACTACTACTATTACTACTACTATTACTACTACTATTATTACTACTACTACTACGACTACGACAATACCACCACCACCACCACCACCACCACGACTACTACGGTCACAAAGCAACCAAACCCAAACGTGCCGGATCTCTTGTATCTATGACCCTACAGATTCCCATGTCAATCCCGTTACGAAGGACCGCGCTTTCCAAGCGGACTTCAGCAGTCCCCGTTGTCCCACGCGCTCCTAAAGGCATCGGCTCCGAGGTAGGCATGAGCCATCTTGATGACACTGGCGCCTGACGGGAAAGCCGACCGGTCGGTCGACTGGTCGCTCGATCCGAAAGGCTCACGACCCGTCGCGACGTCGCTTTATGTGCTAACATGCTTCATGTGGATGAAGCTGCTGGGTAGGGTGAAGGAGCTAAGTGGGTGCAAGAGGAAATCATCCCAGGTTGTAAGAATCAGTGAACCGTTGTATAGGGCTTCTCAACCCTTTTACTGAAAAGAACCTACATAGCCAGAACACTCCCCAGGTTGGCAAAACATGATCAACGCATTTTCTTGGCTTTACGGGCAAATAAGGCAAACAAAGACTCTTGGGTATAGCTTACGTTTGGGCTGCAAACTCTTACACTGTACATGTGGATCGTTGCCATGGCAACCCGGAATGCTCTTCTGGTTAATGGACTATGTGGCCATACCATATACTATAGCATCTATAGGATCCTGGCCACAGCTGAACAATTATTGGTGCTTTTCAACCAATCTTCAACTTTGAGCCCTTTTCAATGAATCTATAAAGCTCGGTGAACAAACATCCGCGCAGTTGATTTGAAACACATCGGCCTTTGCAGTAGGAAATCGCATCGAAGACTTCCTCCACCTGCTCGCGGTCCGTGTCCGTGCCGGATCAGGCAGTCGATCCGTGTGGCGGTTCACCGTGTCACCCGGGTCTCCGTGCGACGACGTTGGTGTGAAGACTTGGTTTGGAAGCGCTTCGGCAGTGATGCCACGGTCCAAGAGGCAAACTCGAGAATTTACAGATCGTCGAGTTGTGTACTTAAGGAAGAAAGCCACACAGCCATATAATTAATGCTTTTGAGTGCTAATGGCCTAATAGCTTTCCAATCAATCCCAAATACCCTTCAAATATATCTGAGCTGAATCATAGGGCAGCATGTCAACACCGTTTCTGTTTCTCCAGGCACCAGCAGGGTGGAGCCCCCGTGCCTCCTCAGCGTGTTTGATGGGCACCTGGATGGGATGCGAACTTCGCAAGCTATCCAGACGCATCGCCTGCCATCGGTCGAGTCTCTTCGGTGCACTGCGAGGCGACCAGGTTTCTGGTTTGGAATATGCACGGGGGCTTGGGTGGAGCCAAGAGGCATTTCGCAGGCAAGCAAGATCTTTCCAGGGAAGCGCAAGTGACAAAAAAGACTGTTGGGAAGGAGATTCGCACCAGATGAAAATAACAGCCTCAAGAATTGCAAGAACGATCCGTAGCAAGCTGCTGCAAGAACCGAGACCTTGGTTCCATCATTTCCCTAGGGCTCCTGGCCCACCTCCATTTCCAAGATGGTTGGGGTGGGTGGATTTGGGGGTCTAACCACCGAACCTGAGATGGGCCAGGAGCCCTCTAGGGCATGTAATTGGGTCATTTCCTGGTTCGAGCCCACCAAAGATCTTCTTCGGTATCTCTCTGGTCAGTGGGTTCCCTTGGACGAAGAAAGACTTGTCATCCACACCAAGCAGGGCAGATCAGTTGGGTCTATCCGAGTCCACCTGGGCCCAGTGGATGATGATGGTTCAGTTGCAGGCCGACCGTTCAAACATAGTATTAATTGTTTACTGACTGTTACAGGTAATAGGACAAACACAAGCAAATCAGTGTGTTTCGATGCTTGCTACTCATGTGTGAGGTGAGAGGTGTGCGCTACGTTTGATGAAAAAACACACACCTGGCAAACATATTATGAAAATACACATGACACGCCAAAAAACCACCTGTACTCCCACCTGTGTTTAGAACGGTGAACCCCAAACTTTCCACTTGTTGACATCTCCCCTGCCAACTCTTGTAGTTGGCACATCGCGGACACACTGGTCCCACGACGTAAAAGCTCTCTAAAGAAAGTGAAACCGAAAGGCATCAAAGGCAGCATGTTGAAAGTGGGAAATTCCAGGTAGACAGATGTTGGCTGCATCCGTCAAGGAGAATACCCGCAAATCTTTCGAGGGGGGTGAAGGACCCCCATGACTGGAACCCCGGTGTTCCACCCCCCAAATCTGTCCTGGCTGTCGTTCTTCCTCCACATGCCAAATCGACCGGGTCGTCTCAGGAGGAAAAAAGACCACACCCTTTCAGCCGCTGTGTCCGAGTGGCCGCCGCTTGTGTGTCCGAGGTGAATTGATCCCACCTGGAACGGGCCGCGCGATCAGGACCGGTCCGCCTTGCTTGGACCGGTCGAACCCGGAAGTTCAGACGGGGCAGGAGCGCCAAAGGGTCTCAACGGTCAAAAGGGTTGGTCCAGATCCTCATGGTTCGTAGGTCACTATGGAGTGTCTGGGATGGATTGGCTGCTCCTTTGAGGGGATTCACCCAGGAAATGGGGACAAAAGAAACAGCCCCCAAAGTCGCCAAAACCACGGTTTCTGTGTCCTCCCACTAGAGAAGCCAATTCTTGGTGCCTTTTTCTTGCCATGTGGACCTGGTCTTGGTGGTGGAGCTAGTGTTCGCTGATTCGAGCCTCAAAAAGGAGTGGACAAACGAATACTGTCCACCAATTGGTGTCGAAAACCTCGAAGCAAAAGACTACTAGTATTCCTGCGATGTCCTGCGTGCTGCCACGTTTTCGGAACATTAAACATCCACTGCAGGCATATGTGGGCAACCATGTGACGTACCAACTCCGAACTTCCAAAGAAAGATGATCAGCGGATCTACAGTAGTCAGTCCAGTAATGTCCAGCACAATACAATCACATCCTGATCTCCCCAAACAGAAATGCAAGTATATCAACTTCAATCCCTGCTTATCCCGAGATTAACTAGATTGGACATGGGGTCCACTCCCCCATATAGATGGATCTGGATGTTGCCATTGCCGCTTTCTTACGACTTGATTGAACATATTGAACCAGCAGGATTCGGCCACAAACATTGGACACCCAAGCCGGAAAAGACATGGGCTGAATCCAAAAAGACTTCATTAAAAAAAGTTCTTTAGGTCGTGAACAAGGCCTTGGAAACTCCGCCTTGCAAAGGAACGTCTAAAGGGATCTAAAGGGTCTTTCTTTAAAGGCCTTGGCCTGTTGGCATTTACCACCAAAAGACACCATAGAATACTATCATGTGATGTCATGTTTTGTCAGCAGTTGCAGTGTTTGGCACATAGGTGCTGTGAAACCTCACTTCTCTTTAACATGTGATTCTTTGAATCCGTGGTTAGCCCTAGTACTCCGAGGCCGGGGAAATCCGTGCTGAATCCAAGGAACATGGCAAAATCTGGGAAGATCTCATGGGCCATGTAGTTCTCACCTTTTCACGCAGTCTCCAAAGGCTTCACGAGAGAGGTGAGACGACGCGCAGCGGTTCGCCAGCGACGCGGTTCGCGGGAGCCGCGGGGAAGTGCCCGCGTGCTGCGAACTGTGCGTGCCCGCGCCCCCGAGATCATGGAACGGTAAACATGTTTGGTGAGGGCCTGGCAAGTTGAAGGATGTTGAAGGAAGCTCAGTGGAATGTCAGCCGACCCTAAGCCAGGGTTGGAGCCCAAAGGAGCCAGGGTTGGCTGTGTTTTCAAAAAGGGAGACTTCCCAGGTGTTCCGACCCCTTTGGAAGAAGGGACATAGACTATATAACATCCAAAACCCATGGGGGATACACACCCATTTGGATCCATTTGGACAGTCTTTGGCACCGCTTGGAAACGATTTTTGCTGATCCCTCCGCATAGACTTCATGGGTGTATACAGGATGATCACCAGTGATTGAGGCTAGAAGTCACTCGATTTCACCTCTTTGGAATTTCCAGGCTGGAAACCTCCCAACATGGAACATAGATGGGGTAAAAGGGTGTTCATGATCCCAGTCACTGAGGATGATCCAGTGGTAGAGCGCTCTAGAAGCCTTTGGGTGGAAACCAGTCAGGAGATATCAGAAGTTGTCTCCGGTACCACCTTCACATGACGCGTCGTTTGCTTGCAAGGCAGTGGTGAGTTGTAGACCACAGACCAGGATGGAGCACAGCTGTACACCATTCCAAACTCATTAAGACTTGAAACCAACTTGTCTGTTTCACAAACAGTCATTGCGTGTCATTGCTCATTGAAATCCTTGAAAGTGTGATTTCAAAGGCGAGCCAGAAACGAAGCCAAGCGAGTTCACTGACCGAACTCCTCGAGAGTTCCTCTCCTTCACTTTCACCATCTGTACATTCAAACCCGTCGAACGCCCAAGGAGTCGCTCCGAGCTTTCCGCCGCCTCTCCGAGCTCGCTTCGCGCCGCTCGACCCGACCGCGGCTGGCGGTCCGAGGGGCACCAGGAGGCGAAGCCTTCGTTGAGCCACAGATCGTCCCACCAGTTCATGGTCACCAGGTTTCCGAACCATTGATGCGCCAACTCCTCAGAGTCGGGAGAGGAGAATTGGAGATGGGGTGCCCTGGTGTGGTGTGATGGGAGTTTTTGGTCCCTTCAAAGATGCATCGAATTCGCATGCGCCAGCGATCTTTGTCGGTGGATGGGATGGGTTCCTGGGTTTGGGTCGTGCTGTCGTTTTGACATGGACGCGGAAGCCTATTAGATCCTGGCCCGCCTCCGTTTCAAAGATGGTTGGGGTGGGTGGATTTGGGGGTTTAACCACCGAACCTGAGGATATGGGCCAGGAGCCCTGGGGAATAGCTATGGTCGTATCTGTCGTGACATGGACGCGGAAGCCCAGATTCTTGGCCACCCGGGGATGTGTTGGTATCTGGGAAATGCTCGGCTCAGTGGATGGGACACCGCCACTCCTTGCAGGAGCCAAAAGAGCGAGAGAGCGGTTTGAAGGGGGGAGCATGTGGAAGGCGTATCTTGTTTGAATGCGGACCAGTTCAACCAAGTCCATTGCATGTCTATGACCAGTTAGGTAGCTGGAAGGGACCAGGGTAGCTGGAAGCATGAAAAAGCTGCGCTTTGCAGTGCTCGCATCTTGTATAGCCGGCCTTTTCCAGGGACTCAGTGAGGGAAAACCTTCACCTTTCATGGATCCCTAGGGATCCAGTCCTACCGAACCTCAGTAGGTGGTCCTCTCATCGACCATTGCTTGTGGCGAGGGGTGTCCTCATCTGGTACCGCTCGTTCACTACCAAGAAATTTCACCATGCCCATGAATTTTGGAAGATCCACCTGAAACAATCTCATCCCATGTCAATGTCACTGATCCCAAATGTCTGGGCACATGTATGTAAACGGTGTCATCCCGTCTGATGTCATCCCAGATGCGTGGGTCACGACGATGCACACCCGCTGCATCTGCTTGCGCGAGGCGCCCTCAGCGATGAGCAAATCCACCTGACGTCGACCGTGGCCGTTGGGGACGGGACATGCATGAGGCTTGATCAATGGCTGACCGCCCGACCGCCACTCCCCGAACGAAAATCAGGGTCAACTTTGTTCCACCTGTGGACTTTCTTGGAAATGCTCGCATGTAATTGCAATCCCTAGGGATCTTCTCAGAAGGTGATTGGAGACACTGTTAGGTTTGGAGGGTCCAGTCGTACCCTCTGAGAAGGTACTTGGATCCCTATGGTACAATGATATCATTGTAGCTCAAGTACTGACAAGATGACAAGTGAAGGATGTTGATGTCCCTCATTGGGTCTAAACAAGCCAAGTATATAGCCCTTTGGATGTGTTGTTTTATGTTAATTCAAATCCGTAGGGTAGGCAACAGTTGCTGGGAAAGGATGTTCACCAAATGTTCTACCACCGACATCCGGATAGGACTGTGAGTCACTGAGTCGATATTAATGGAATTGGCATAAATCCAAGCGCGTGCATGAATCAACAAAGCCATGTCACTCTCAGGGTAAGATTCTACTGGAACTAGTTCTGACTGCACTTGTGGGTCAGTATCCGGCAAGTCCAGCATCCCTTGGTAGTTGGCTGAGTTAAAGGATGTTAAAGGTGCAGGTTGTGGGAGATTGAACTTACTGACTGTTGAATTAACAGTAATCAAGATTTCATCACCCCTGTAAAGCATCCTCTATCTATGCTTCGGGCCATTTGCCTAACAATCCTGACTGAAGTCCGGTCCTCATCCAGCAGCCTTCTTCCTCATGACAGCGCCTGCAGAAGCAAAGAGGCAGCCAAGCTGAAGCCTCAGAAAACCATCACCAGCTGCACTCCTTTTTAATCAGCTTCAATCACAGGATCATTTCCGGGGAGCTGGACAAAGTGCTCAGTGGATTCATGTCTTAAATCAATTATCAAGCCAGGGACTGTTCCAAAAAATATCTGGAGAGTATGGGATAGACTAGGTGTATTTCTAATAAACAGCGTTCTAACAGGGTGCGACGGTCGCACCCTGTTAGAACACTCGCTCGCGTCAATGAGTGTTCCAAGGGGGGGTCTGATTTCGCTGGACCTGAGCAAAGATTGTGTCTTTCGCTGGAAAACTTTGCGACGGACGCGAGATTAAGTCAGCTCCAGCGAATCCAGGGGTGTCCTTAGAACACTCGCTCCCCGGAAATGATCCTGTGATTGAAGCTGATTAAAAAGGATTCAGTGCAGCTGGTGATGGTTTTCTGATGCTTCAGCTTGGCTGCCACTTTGCTTCCGCAGGCGCTGCCATGAGGAACAAGGCTGCTGGATGACTACCGGACTTCAGTCAGGATTGTTAGGCAAGTGGCCCGAAGTATAGATGGAGGATGCTATATGAAGCGGTGATGACATTCTGGTGACTTTTCAATCTTCATTCCACGTTTACATGTTGCATTCACTATTTTTGTTTATTGCCACAGGCTCCCTTTAACTGACCCCACTCCAAAGTGATGCCCGGGTCGGAACTGGTCCCACCGCAGCCATCAGTAGAACCTTATCCCGAGAGTGACATGGCTTTGTTGATTCATGCACGTGCTTGGACTTATGCCAATTCCATTAATATCGACTCAGTGACTCACAGTCCTATCCGGATGTCGGCGGTAGAACATTTGGTGAACATCCTTTCCCAGCAACTGTTGCCTACCCTACGTATTTGAAAGAACATGAAACAACACATCCAAAGGGCTATATACGTGGCTTGTTTAGACCCAATGAGGGACATCAACATCCTTCACTTGTCATCTTGTCAGTACTTGAGCGACAATGACATCATTCTACCAAGGACCAATGTGAAGTGAAGATCCACCCTATGGAAGCATCAGCTGCTGAGAAGGGGGTGGCAGAAGGAACAAGGTAAGCTAAAGGGAAATCGATATTTTTTGAAAATCAACTATTCAACTGTTAGAAAAACACCCCAGATAGGGAATGCTCATATCAGTCTTTATTAGGGGTGTTTCCAGTTCCCCTCCAAAGGTCAGTAACCAGGCGCACTTCTCGTCGCGAGATAGATGCCTGTTTCATAGGACGAATCCGAGCTGGGTGGGTTCTTGTGAAATCCGAGAGTCAGTTTGGATTCAACAGTGGCACTCAACTTGAGCGTCGTACGTGACTTTCGGGCAAATGAACCTTCATGCCTGCACATCTATCAGCCCACCAACCTCACCTCATCTATAGGAGCTATTTATTCGACACTCCTTCGGAGCCCTCGTACTGAGTGCATCTTCACCTCTCGACTTGCCGATGCTTGTTGGTTGTCTCGTTTCCCCTTTTGAGGTTGCTAATGAACTTGACTTGACATGTCGACAGTCGACGACATCGCCCCGATCCACCCAAAACGCTCCAAACGGCCGAAGAACGGACCCTTTCAACGGACTCGGCTCCGCCTCGCGGTAGGTCACGAGGCCCCAATTCTCCATGGCACCCGCCGCAAACTCTGGGATCGCGATCCTGGCGTTGGGATTTTCTGGGCGATCGGGGTTTGGGGATGGGTGACTTCGGGGGATATGTCCAAAATGGTCCGATGTTGATAGGCTATGAACAGTTTGTCTTGTTTGTGTGTTGAGTAACTATAGGGAGTAATTAGGGGAGGTTCCTATAATAGCATACTGGAAACTACTTCACTAATGAAAAGCAAGCACGGTCAAATACATTCAAATACAAATAACATTGCTGATATGACACCTGGATAACAGGTATGACACAACCATCTTGACTGGAGTCGAATATGAATTAATGCACGTCCAAAGAAAGGAACGGAGACCGTTGTGGGGGGTCTTTTTTCCCGCAGCCGATGTATGTATAGTCAATCCACTTTCAGGAAAACATGTTCCAAACATGATGAATAATGATGAATATACTCTTTGTATCTCTTTGTATACTCCTTGAACATGGTTTGTTTTTGCAACCTTGAGGCTCACCCCAGCCAGAACCGATGTCATGTCAGTACACCAGTATTCTTCTTTGCACGTCTACAACCAACGGAAAGGCAATGCATATCCCCGACGGCTGAAACACTGGTCTGTGACAGTGTCAGTTGTAACTGAGAACTGGGAATCAATGCTGACTGTTGATGGATTAAACCCTATAGATATGTGGAGATCTTAAACCATGACCTGGCAGGGGGGGTTGTCAATCTTCCTGCACCACCGAGCTCCCTCAACATCGCCGAGGCGGCATGTCGAGCTTGGGCAGTGGATACCTGCGAGCTGGTGAAGACCACACAGTCTCTACTTAGATAGGCAAGCGGGTCTCTGCGCACCAAGCAGCTTGGTCACCCTATCCGCCGACAACACCAAGATCCTTCACCCTTCCAGTCGCCAAACTTCAAGACCCGGCCAGACCATGCCAAAACCTGACCTTCGGTCGCCGTTCCCGAGAAGATCGGTCGGTTGGTGAAAACCGGTCCGTCAAAACGGTGAAAGGTTAGCAATTGATTCCAAACTTTCGACAGGGTCGTGGCTACAAAAATCCTACAAGTATCTATCCAAGTCTCAACTTACATGAAATGAAACCCAACCCCTGCCAAAAACAAAAAAAGAAAACAACGACATTTTAAGGACCATCCAATGGGTGTCCTATGGACTACCCCACACTACTCTAGGGATCTCCATTGGACATCATTGGACACATTGGACACCCATTGGATCGTCCAGATTGAACATGAAAATTCAACTAGTAAGACCATGGTAAAATTCTACCCCTACCTAGGAATCCAGATCAGTTACCTTCTCAGGTACGGTGACGGAGGGAACAGTACGGCGCAGCCCATGCGCCGTACCGAACCAGTCAATGGCAGTGGATCCACCAGTCACCAACGGTGCCACGTCCGAAAGGTCGAAAGAGCGATCCAAAACCGAGCGGCGGCAGCCCGAAGTAGTCATCATAACCTCGGGGGAAGCGACGGCCGCCGGATCCAACGGAGAACGGCCAGGAACTCGGATCCACGTCTCGACTTCTACGGTGAGGACGGAGACACCGCGATGCGCTAGCTAGGTGCCCCGAAAGGTCGGGCCCAGTCGTACCGAACCTGAGGTACGGTATGGATCCTTAGGGCCCCTAGGCCAGGCCACGCGGCAGGTTCGTGTTGTTTTGTTGACCGGATTGTCTTCTGATTGCGAGGATGTCAAGAAATGCACACAATTTCAGGGCTAGGTGACGTCATAGTATACTGAATTGATACTGAATGTAGAATGTCAGGATGGATTGGGAACGTGTTCTAGTTCACTTTCCAGTGGTCAACGTGTTGTTTCCCTTTCACTGAAACCGACGAGCCCGACGTTTTCATTCGAAACCAGAGACTCATGTTCATCAACCTGCTGGACCCCAAAGGTTTCCAGCAGAAAGGCGTTTGTTCAAGGCAACCCGATGCCCAATCTCCGCTGGTTGGTCCCAGCTTCATCTCAAAAACCACACCCCATGCAACTCTCGCTCTTTGCTCGCACCCACCGCACCGCAAAAAAAATCCCTTGTTTGACCTCTTCCTCCCGCTTCAGTCAGTCTCCGCTTCAGTCAGTCGACTCAGTCGCCCAACTGAGGTGCCCCGCCGTCCAAGGCCTTGACCGCAACCTCCAGTGGGAACTGTCCATCCTTCGAACGTCCTGCGAACGACCGGTCGACACGGTCTGAGGACTGGCTGCAGCGCGAGGTTTGGGCAGTCCTTCTGAGGTTTTGGCGTCAAACGGCGTCGCGTTGAGACAGCTTAGAGAAAAACCAGCTTGGAGACTGCAGGTGAAAACCATCCGATGGATATTGGATGGTCATCCAACTCTTGCACCAGCTAAAGGCAAACATCTTCACTTCACGTGGTCTTCGACCCGTTCACTAGGTCAGTTAGACGTGTCATGCCGTTGAAGTTCAGATGAATCAACATGAACCTTCCTAGCGCTTCGAATGGGTGCCCAATGGTGACCTTTTTTCGCAGTGTAGGGTGGTCCAGCCAGGTAACCCCGAACGGAAGCAGCTGGTTGGCATTGCTCAAGGACTCCTGGATCTTGAACTCCTACCAGGGAGCGTACGGGTCCCGCGCGTGACCATGCGTACATGACTCCTGAGCCGGAGCTCCGCTCCGTTGAGTGCGACCTGTGGTCTTTTCGTTGTTCAACGCCAAACCCAAAGCCTCCCCCAAAAGAACACTTCAGTGCCATGGAGTGTCGCAACTTGGAGTTGGACTTCACGGAAGGAGTTCAGAGGGTCTAAAAAACCATCTAAAATTCCCATCCAACATGACACGAAGGGGGACGTCCTGGTGGCGCGAATACACGTACCAGGACTCCATGACTGGTCTGGGCCTGGCGCACGCGGCAGCACGGATGTCTGGGCTCCTGGCCCATATCCTCAGGTTCGGTGGTTAGACCCCCAAATCCACCCACCCCAACCATCTTCGAAACGGAGGTGGGCCAGGGGTAAAAAAGAAAACCACATGGGTATCCGATCGGAATAATCAGGGCGAGGCCTCACAGTGTGACCCCTCTTTTCCCACGCAAGCTTAGACTAAAACAGTACTATTTCACTAGAGATCAATCCAACCCAGCCGTTGCTGCAATGAGTCCTTAAGTGCAGTGAAAGCAACACCCACCCTTTTGGCAAATGAATCCGTGAACACACGAACATGGCCTTGTGAAACCTCCATGACTGTTGCACGGTCCATGTTGCAAGCATGCTGCGTTCAAGTCAGTCATAACGGATTCCTTGAAGATGTTATTGACGTGAATCTGTCAGTCCAATACACACTTGTCCCGCACCTGCACTCAAAGCCTACGCCAAGGGCTATAATAGACGAATTTATAGTGAGTACAATGAGGTAAATAGACCAACTCAACGAACGCAAATGTCACAATGTCTCATGAAACTCAGGACCCCGAAGAATCCAACTGATCAAACTGATCAGCCAAGCAACTGATCATCCAACTTCTCAAAAGCCGACTCCCTCAGTTTCCCTGGAACATGAAAATGAAGCAAAACTTCCACCTGTTGTCTAGTAGTGGAGAAGCCACTCCCCCCAAAAGGGTTAATTCAACTTCACTTTCCTGGGTAGAACACCAAGGGATCCACTCCAAGGGACGTCACCGAAACCAATTCCGCTTGCTAAAGCAATCCCTATGGATCCAAGTACCCTCTGAGAAGGTGTTTGGGGTGGGTTTGGAGGGTCCAAGTACCTTTTGAGGAGGTACTTGGATCCCTAGGGAATATTATAAGTATTTTGAGCTACAGCACTTGCAGAACTCACCTGGATGAAGTCGAACTCACCCACGATGAAGGCCAGCAAATAGGTCGACCTTCCCGATACGTGGCACACCACCCACACCCGCCCAGGATCCAAGCCGAGTGGCCGCCTAAAACAGTGGATGCTTTGGGGCTCACAGATCAAATTCACTTACCTCTTTGACCAATATGTTGTTATATTTAAATTTATCTATCTAAGTAAATAAAAGGCATCCAACAAGTAAACAACATGTGACATGTGACATGTGGTTCATAGAAAAGGATGGCAAGAGACGAGATGTTGTTTCGCCTCTGTAATTTCCAGTTTGGCCTCTACCTGTGTCCTTCGCCCAGCATCTCTTGATCTACCCCCGAACACCCGACACCCCATTGGCTGCCATTCAGAACGAAGCCAGCGGCTTGAACACCCAAAACACTTCCGTTCCGCCCAGGTGATGTTGCCAACTCAGAGGACTGCATTCGATCCACACCCCTCTGAGTCCACATCCGTGTGCATCCGTGTCTCGTCCTCTCAGCGTCGGTCCGAGTCACATTTTCGGGGAGTCCATGAAGGCAACCTCCATCTTCGCCTTGGCGTGCTGCATCCAGTGAGGGTATTTGGTTTTCTTGGGGCATGAGACTTTGTTCACTGGTCCTTAGTCCTCGAAATGTCGTACATGTATAGGGAATATATAAAGGGAAATCATGGATCCACATACCCTCTGTGAAGGTCTAAGTGCCTTCTGAGACGGTATGTGGACTCTCTATATATTCCTTTCAAGTCTTTCAAAATCCACTGCCACCCCAACTCCATCACCTATTCGACCTCACCCCCCCCCACCTAGACCTAGCCAATCCCCTCACGCCCGGCCCGGTGCTCTCCCAGGTGCTCCACCGTCCAGGTAACAGCGGTGCTTCTCGGGCATGTTGCTGAGAGCCGTGAGGCCTTCGGTCGCGAGAGTGACGGAGGTCGCTTTCCCCGGTTGTTCCTCGTCAGGACCGGGCGGGGGGTCGGGACCCATGTAGTCTTCGTCTATGTCTTATAGATACTCTGCAGCACTCGATGTTCCTTTCAGGTGAATCATGAGAGTGCAATCAGAGTTCAAGAAGGTCATGTATGAAAGGTTGGTGCTTGCGCTCTAATTCATTCCTCGCACTCTCTCAAACCGGTGGATGAAAAGCAACCCGTCTTCCTTCGGCTTCGAGCCGATGACTCGAGAATACTAGAGAAAACAGAAAAGTCGGGTTGGATTGAAATCTACCCGTCTTCCTCGCCCTCGTGTCCGCTTATATATGTAGTGAAGACCTTGGTCAGTATCACAAGCACGGCGCCCAAAACAAAAACTGAGAGGTGTCTCGCATCTCGCGCCTGTGTCCACCACCAAGGTAAGTCCAAAAACCGCCTCGCGGTGTCTCGGCTCTTCGAAAAACGCCCGCGGGCGTTTTCGGAAGCCCAGACGTGCACTGCTGAAGGAGAGCAGCAGATCGAAGCAAGGCATGTTCCGATTTCATTTGTACACCGGTGTTCAGAAAACACCTCTGGTCGGGTCGTAATACCACTGGAAAGACCTGCTATATAACTCTATAACGGTTTTTTCTCGTCATGGGCATAGTGCCCAAAGAGCAAAGCGAAAAATACAACAAAAGTGGAGCACCTTTGTAGAAACCTGACCGAAGCAGGGAAACTCGATTCCAGATTCTGGCTCGTTCACAATACTCTCAATATCTGTCTATACTTCATGAATGGGTTGGGTGGCCCTAGTGTTGCCCAGTTAGCCACGACAGGTTGAGGAGTCAAATGCTCTTTTGGATTCAGATTCGTATAGTTTAAAAAAAAAAAAAAACAAACAAGAAGAAAAAATGGTCGCACTGGAGTCAGCTTGTACATTAGATCCGTCTGAACAGCCCTGAGGTCTAACTTTTGACATTATGTTCATTGATCCTGAGTACGTTCTTGCTTGCACAAACCAAGCACTGCTAGTTGCCAGTTGCACCTTCCCACTATAGCCCAAATCATTGATCCTCCTGTGCTCACGCCCAGTGAAGAGCGCAACTTAGCAAGACCTCTCCTCTGACAGACTCGCAAGACACGTTCACCAAGGCGAGAGTCTCTCACCCGACGTCCAGATTTACACCCAAACCATCCAAAACCTCATCACACATCCGTTTCAAGGCAGGTACATGTCTCCTTCGCTCAGAATCCCCAATGCCCACTCAACAGTATGGCTGAGGTTCCATGATGTGCCACTGCTCTAATCGCACCACTCCACTTCCGCGCCTTTCTTCCGGGCTCGTCCCAGCAGGGGAAGGCACGACGCGCATCCAGGGATTCGAACTGAGTGGAGGCCATGATCTTGGAGGCGCCAGTGATGTCCTTGTATCCTGCAATGCACCGACACAAATTTTGGCATCAATTCGTCGGTGTCGACACACAACGTTTTTTTTTGTACAAATAAACGAGGCTAAAGTTAGGGCTTGAGATGGCTTGAGCCATCTTGAGCCTTCATGGTTCCTCTGGATTCGTGCATGTTGATTGCAACAGGATTGTGATTTTCAAACACCGCCATTGAAATTTATTGTACATAGCAAACCATGTACTCAACAGTCAATTTACTGAGAACAACACACACAATGATCCTAAGTAGATGGATATGGGCATCCGTGAAACACAGCTGCGACTCCCTACTCCAGCTGCTCTTAAGCATAACTCTGAACACCTTAGGATTGGCGAACGAACGACCTCCCGCCCTCCGGCCTGATCGATAGAAACCTCAGGGCCCAAAAACGGTTGGGAGTTGTTGTCTTACAGTGGTTTCAGAGTGTAGTTGTTTTGTTGTTCAAATCCTTACAACTCCTGGCCCATCTCCTCAGGTTCGGTGGTCTTCGACCCCCGTGGCATCCACCCACCCCTGGCCCATCGAACCGAAACGGAGGTGGGCCAGGAGCCCAAACGGGCCCGGATCACCGGGGGTGCCAGAACCGCCCAAGCGTGGCCGTGGTGGGTCGGGTCAGCTTTCTGACACGATGCCGGCTTCGATCTCGATTCGATCTGAGAGGAGTTCTTGTTTCAAGCAAACCCTTCGGTCAATTCATAAACCTTGTGTGAATGAACCGGCTAATATAATATATATATATACATACACGTACCACCACTTTCTGTGCCTGGCACCTTTCAGCCTCTAACGATGCCGAGACGCCGCAAAGACACGTTTTTCAGAAATGCGCTTCGACCGACACCGCGACCGCCAGACCCAACTTGGTGCGCTCTGCTTGGCAAGCAGCCGGCCATCTGATCATTCAAAAGACCGAAGAACTCAAGCTCAAGCTCCGCCTCTCGCCCAGTCCCACGATCAAGAAGGGAAGATGAGAAATGAATGGTCCCAAATGATCCCCAAAGTGAGTGAGTGAACTGAAAGGATTCGATCATTCCGTTCATGGAGGTGTTCGTACCCATTTTTCGGTGAACAGGTCTCAGTTCTGGAAAATAGGGACCTTTATCCACCGGATTCTACTGGGGAAACCAGTCCCCCACAAAGGTTAAAGGTTAGCCCCTGACTCGGTATGTTGTTGAAGCCAAGGTTTTGGGCAGGGAACCCGGGGATGTTTGATAATGATGCGTAGTCCTTGTAGTCCCGAAGCTCTCTTGAAGTAAAACATCTTTCAGTTGCTATAGAAATACACCACCGCATGGCCTCAAACAAAAGGTGCCAAAAACAAAAATGATTGTCCAATGTGCGGCTCTCTTCGACAAAGTCTTTGGAAATTCAGCCATTCAGCAATCCATACATCTCAACCTGACCCCATCCAAATTGACCCAGATCCACCCATGTCCACCACATTGTTTGTTCACCGTACCAACCGGTAGCATCTGTGGCCTCCCCGACTGGTAGCATCTCTTCGAACTTGAAGGTCACCGTGGCATCCTCCGTGCTGCAAAACGGATGCCGGGGATGTTTTGTTTGAAGACACAAAGGCCTTAACTGTGATGACCCAGACTTGTACACTGGAATCATCATGGAAGTGCATGGCGCCACCTGTTTGCAATGAGGATTTCATGGTCCCTCCTAAATCGGGGCCATCCACGGGACCATGACTCTTCCAGGGAGTGCAGTTGCGGTAACACAATGTGAAGTCCGAGTGCCCGCCTGTGACAGCCAAAGGAGAAGAACCGTCCAACAATGACGAGATTACAGTCCGTCATAAGCTCCCCCCCGCGATGAGTGCGCCGTCCATTCTGCATCATTCTGCGTTGTTTTTGGGCTGGTTCTGCATTCCTTACATCAACAGCTCCACACACTCACATGTTTTTCTAAAAAGTTGCAGCTTCCCAATCGTTGTGGTCTTTTTGCTGTCTTTCCTGTTCAACAGTGATTTGTAGTTCCAACTTCTCGAACATGTCCATGATTGTCCACGTGACCTCCGTTTGAACAGCGACTGAGTTTCCCACGTTGACCTTCAAACGGGCTAAGTTGGACTTTTCACCATGGTGAGGGCGTCCCAAAGCCCCCATGATGCGTCTTGAATGCTGCCGAGTCCGGGCAGGGTCTAGAATCTAGAATCCCTACTCGACTTTTGTTGAGCAATTTGAGTTGTGTAATTATTTTGTACTGATGTAAGGCATTATCTTTTTATTGGTGCCTACGCCAAGGCTACTTTCTGCCTACGCGCTCACAGTTTTGGCCTACGCGCAGGTCGAAGTTAGGATAGGTTGCCTACGCGGCCTACGCACGTGAATTTTTTTAATCACTGAATGGTTTTGCCTACGCGGCTACAGTTTTGGAAGCTTTTAGCTGTTTTCGTCTATTGTTTTGCAAGGCGTTGGGTTCCTCCTTAGCCATGGCGAAAGGCCTCCTAACGACAAAGGCAGGCCATATGGACGAGGAAGACTTCCAAACCTTCACTTAGCCATGTCTGGGGCAAGTTCTTCCCACACCAGTTTTCGCCTACGCCTACCCTACTTTTCGCCTACGCGGTGCCTATGCCTACTGCATGTTGGTTTTGCTAATATCTTGCCTACTTATCCAGGTAGCAATTGAAATATCGAGAAGTCATACTTATTAAAGTCTTCCTGTATAAATCTTCTTGACTGGGAAATGCGTCGCCTACGCGGCTTCTGCCACAAAAAAATGCTTAAAAAATGCCTACGCCAGCCTACGCCCCCAAGCAGAATGCCTACATCCAACCCTTTACAGGTTAACTCTTCTATAAATCTCTACATCTATTAAAAGAGCTCTGCTCAATTAATCACAAATGGCGTGCGCCGAACCCATCACAGCATAGTTCATCCAAAGCTCCTTGATGGAATATGTCACTGCCTGGCGGTTTGCAGTCTTCCCGTGAGCTGTGGTCCAAGAACCACTCAAAGTGGCTGATGATGAGGAATGGGTGGCACAGGACACCCGCTGGACTGTGGAGCATATGGTTTTGTCAATCTGCCGGTGGCCCGGGCTGCCACCGTCATGGCTCTGTCACCCTTGAAAAACTCAGCACGTGCGTGAAATGCAAGGGTCTTTTGCCTTCGATTTGGGTACAGTATATAATAGTATATAGCAACTTCTTCAGACTCAAACACAACAAGTCACATAAATATATGTCATATGTTTTCTCCATTGCGTCAATCTCCCTCTTCCTTCACTCGTGGGCCAACTACCTCTCTGCCGCGTCCTCTCAGATGTAAAAGGTGACCCTAAAAAGCTGATCTCTGGGCGAAGTTAAGAACTCATACTCGATGGTTCACCTCTGGTTTGCCAGCTTTCAAACGGTTCCTGAACGCCTGGATGAGGTCCGAACGAATCTCGAAAGTCTCTAGACAGCTTAGACAGCTTGCTTCCTTCAATGAAAACAACCTTCTGGAACAGCATGAAGTTGGGAAGTTCCGCTTGTGGACCGCTTGGATTTGCTGTCTCAGGAGCCGGGAAACACCTAATGAACATATTCCCCAATGCAGAAAGAGGCTTCACCGGCTTCACCCATAGGGAAAATAACAACCAATCAATTAACAATAAGCAAAACCAAGCATTGATAGCCATCAAAACAAACCTTTTTTTTGGTTAACCTATGTTAACCTTCATGTTGGCTTCTTGAACTATCCATTCACCTGAAAGGAACATCGAGTGCTGTGATACTAAGCCATCTCTGGTAGGTTGGAGGCCATCGCTATTGGAAACCAAGAAAAAGGAACGCAAACACAAACAGGTCGACTACCAGGACCCTCCTGGCCAGGCACTGTTTGGAGACCCAGGCACAGTGAACAAACACACGTCCGTCCACTGCCCTCCGACCTGTCCAACCCCCGCCTCCGGCTTGACTTCGGTAGAGCCAGCTTTCAGGACGATGGTGTGGTTCCTAAAGAAGAGGGCTTCACGGCTTCCGATGGTTGGCAGAATCAAACGATGTTTGTTTCTGATGGTTGGTTTATGACCGGTGTTGGCAGGATGGTTGGCGGAATCAAACTGGTCCGAAACAGATCATGGAAGACATCTGGTAGTTTGAAGACGAGGAAAAGGGTGGAAAAGGATTGTCATGTTCCATGGTATCCATGATCTATGTATATCTATGTCATACAACAAAATCTGTCCATGGCCGGTGTCCGCAAGGAATACACGTCATGTTTGTACCCAAGCAAATATGAATCAATATGGGTGGCGGGTGGCGGGTTTAGGCTCCGGAATTTCAAACACCATTCTGTCACATAGTTGATCATGCCAGGAGTCACAAAGGGGTGGTGTTTAGTCCCTAAGTGAGTGGATAATGGGCACCCCTAACCTCCATTAAGCACCCCTTTGTGACTGCTGGTGCATGTTTTTTTGTCCAAAAGATTCTGAGGGTATCATCCATTCCAACTGGTCCAAGCACATGCCTCTGACATGGACGTTCTACCCAATCTAGTTTTTTGATGGTACGATAATTTATGTGAAGTGGGTTGGCTAAAGAATTCAAAGTTTAGCAAGGTTTAGCACCGTTGAGTGGTTCTATTCTTGGATAGTCAAAGAATCATCCATTCCTGGTGATTGCCGATCTCGTTGTATGAGGGCTTGAGGTGTTGAGTCTTGTGCCGCCCCCATAAAGGCAGAATGCTACATGACATAATGCCTATATATGTAGTACATGAGCCTCTCTATTGAAGCCATTGCTTTTGAATTTGGATGTCTAGAGTCTAGATTACAGTTTATATAGAGTCTATACAGTAAGTGACCTGAACCCTGCGAAGCTTCGCCTTAGAACCCTCCAAGGCCCGCCAAGAACGCCGCTTTCACCACGCGCGGGTTGCGCGTACGCTTTGCGCGCCACCGTGCTGTTCGTTCGCACCAGGTCACTTGATGGCAATCTCTTTGACGTGCAGGGCAATCTCCTCAGTGCCCGACACGAAACGAATGGGCGAGCGCGAGCCGTCTCGTTCCTGCTGTCATGGGGCGAACGCAAGAGATGGCCTATCAAAGGATGGCAGTCCAACGTACGATTGATATCGTATAACGGCCAGGGGCAGCTAACTCCACAACACAACACCCAGCTATATTGAGAAGGGAACATCAGTGGCAACCAAAGGTGCCAGAAACTCATCAGGGTAGAGTTCCAGGCAATCTAGGAGTGAAAGTATATTTCATTGCTCCAACTGGAAATATTCAGGGTACCTAGATGGGATGATCCTCATTGATCCAATTCTTGGGAGCTTGCGCCTCCCAGCACCTGGGAAAACATTAAAAACACACACACACACACAACAATCCCGGTGGCCCAGTGGATATCGGGGCATGCACCCAATGAAGGGAACATCCACAATCACCCCAAAACTGCTCTTTCAACAGAATCTTCAGAATCTTGACTTCGTTGCAAACACCCCCGTCCAGTAGAGGTGCCTAAACGGACACGTTCGGGAGATCAGCCGAGAACGTTTCCAAGAACCACAGACTTAACGGCCGTTTTCAACACATCATCTTCCTTCTGTTATGCGAACACCTCCCTCAAGACCTCCCTGATTGTTCAAAACACATCTGCTTCCCTCTGTATAGCTCTGAACGTCTCCCCGGTTTTTGTTGGGGGAAACTGGATACCCTATCCACTACCCTATCGCTACTCTTTCTCGCTCAGCCTCGCGATAGCGCGACTGTCCGAACGGCTCGGACCAAGACACGTCAGTGGCTTCTTGGATGTCCAATCCTTGGCCGTTCAGGCCGACGTCCAGGTTGTTCGACGCGGCTTCGAAGGATTGAACGATGGGCGATGTGATGCATCCAGCAACGAACTCACCTAGTACGACTCGCAGCATCCATACTACAGTGAAAAGCCACAGGGACAGGTAGCATTCCAAAGGAAGGCAAAGCAACCATACACTTCATTGGAAGTTCCACAGCTGAATTCACCTTCCCTCCCATGCAGGTGCCAAACCAAAAGACGTTCACATGGGAATCAAATCATTCATTCTATCGTGGACGTTACTGGTTCACCTGACGACTTGGATTTGCGGAGCCGGAACAACAAATGTCAACATATTCTCCAGAAGGGGAGTAACCCACAGAAAGGACAACAAAAACAACACTAAGCAGAACCCGGACGACCTGCTCAGTTTGGCGTTTTGAACCCAAAACCAGGGTCGTCCGGGCTGCCGGTTGGAAAGCGAGCACGAGCGAGCGGAACTCGCTCCAGTAGCGGATCGAATGGACCCAATGCACCCCGGTGTCTGAGGTGTTTTGCGGCTTTTTGCGGGGGCGTATCCACCGGTGGCACCGGGAGACCCGCCGGTGCCATGTCAAGTAGTGCCCCTACTTGCGAGGACGCGAGGACAGGAGTGGTGAATATCGAATATATGGAAGTGTTTGACAGCTTTTACTTATCAAATTAATGCAAACTGAATGGAGACTCCGATTTCAAAAAAATAAAAAACAACTCACTACACAGTTTGTTTTAATTCACAACTGTTTGAGAAAACAACTCACAAACAGTGCAGGTGCGGCTTTCTAGAAACACGGATCGATTCGAGTAGATTCTGCCATCCATCTCGGTTCGATCCCCACACTATACCGGAGGTTGGATTACGACTGAACGCCTCTAAGTCGGAATCCATGCTGGCTAAGCAGTGTCACTGGAGGTTCGATCCAAAAGGGTGCCCATCAGAGATCCATCAGGATTCGCCAAACCCATTTGGAAAAGGAACCAGCTCCATTCAACCTGAAACCTAGTTGGGTAGTATTGGGTAGTAAGCCCCGAACCAGAGCTCGGCGTGAAGGGCAGGCGGTTCTGATTTGCGGAACCGCAGAGCGTTGCATAGGAAAAAAACACCACAAACTCCATTCATCTCCATTCCACCTGACCGATCCCAGACACTCCATGTATGGCATATATAATATACACCTACATTGGGGTGGTTTTGGGGGTCAATGTATGCCATACATGGAGCGTCTGGGAACCATTGGGGGGGGGGCGGTCTTGAACCCCAAAACATCCACCTCCAGCTCCGAATCAGCTGCTCCGAATCCAGCGAACGAATTCGCATCATTCGCTGCGCAAGAGTCTGATCTTCTCAGAGCCATCAAACGTGAAGTTCACCAGGTCCGGTTTCAGCTTGATGTCCTCGGCGTGAGCCCGCCCCGTCCGCTCGGACCCGCTGCAAGAAGGGAGACACGAGATGAAGCGGTCTCGGACGACGCGAGGTCTGAAGGGTCTCTGTCTGACCTGGTCTGGGTCGTCCAGATCTCAGGCAGAGTGGGTCAACCGGATCCGAAGTGGGTCAATCGGCTCCGATTCGCGATGTTCGTGGCTAGGCAGCGAGGCCTTTTTCAAAAGAAAAGCATAGTGATCACCTCTGACCGACTGTGCCTGGTGGACGCACCTTAGATGTAGGCTGTTGATAAATCAAAACCGAACATCTTCATGTTGTGGGTTCTATTTTCCCAGACACTGCATGGGACTGCCACATATGCCTACATTGACCCCCAAACCACCCCAATGTAGGTATGTATGCCATACATGGAGTGTCTGGGTTTGATCCTTCTTCAATCCCCACTTCAGCAAACTTGAGGACAAAACCGTCATGGTTTGGGTCGGTTCCCCGTGAACGTGTCGAAGGGGTTTGGGGGAACAACTATGACCATCCCAAACATTTTCACCATAGATGTTGTCCCTTATTCATATGTCTCGCGGAGCATTCACTCTTGAAAACACAAACATATAGTATCATATAAAATAGTTTCTGTCCCTGACTCATATATACAAAATATATACACAAAATAGATCAGTGAAGAGAAACCCACGGATTCTGTCCATAACTCATAGACAAAATAGATGAGTATTGGGATGTATTGGGGAAGTCATAGGTTCTGGCCATTGCTCATATACAATCATATACATATACATAAGCTATTCTTGAAACACAAGGAAGGTGGCCTGCGTCGTTCATCCGACATCAGTTCTTCCCCTGCTGGGGAAGTCAATAGGACTGACATCCACATCTTGCACAGCTGGGATTGGGTAGGTGCAATGGATTGGATTTCAGTTGATATTTGCAGGACATTCTCAGGTGGTGCAGGATCCAAAAAGTTGAAGTATGTTGCCTATGTGTTTCCTTCTGTGGTTGCATCAATTTGGGGCTGTACAGGAGTTGGACATAGATCTTCTCTTCGTCCAGCACAAGAAGAACGTGTATCTCTGACAGACGACAGCACAGAGACAGACAGCGTCCGGAGGGTCACGGAGTGGACGAATCTCTCTCTGACCGCGTCTCTCCGGTGACCTGACCACAAAGCTATTGACTACTGTCAACTGTTAGACAACATGTTAAAAAAAGAAAAATAGCAGTGAGTCCCAGTGAGAATAGGTCAGCCACCTTGGCAAATGGTTGGTGGAAAGTACTTAAGCTTGGCCTTCCTATTTGAATAGGGAGGTGTTCATCCCCAATGGTGCATGAAGTGCTCTGTGAAATAGCGGAAACATTGCATTCTAAGTAGCCACCGCTTGGAATCATTTCTCGTGTCGGGGACCCAAATCCCTCGGCCCTCGAGATCAGATGTTTGACACAAGGCAGTCTTAAGTGCTCTATCATGTCTATCATGTTGGATCTGGCTCGGCTCCAAGTACCAAACACACATATATATATATATAT